TCGTTGGCTCGTCTTCTTCTGCTAATTGACCTTTCAGATCCTCGGTGACGAATGTCTTTGCAGCTTGAAGTATTGGCTTGTAACCTGTACAGCGGCACAAGTTGCCATCCAAGTGACCTTCCATCTCGATCTCTCGAGCGCTGAGATGGAACTTCTTCGTCTCCGGATTGTACGCGTTGCGCACCACTGCGTACAGACTCATCACGATACCAGGCGTACCTATGGAGATAGTCAGTTTTAGAGCAGGAAACAACGTCAGGTTGACTCACAGAAGCCACATTGGCTGCCGTGTAACTTCGCGATCCTCTCTTGCAGAGGATGCGGTCTGCCAACATTCCCGATGCCTTCCACGGTGATGACATGCTTGCCGTCGATACCAACTAGAGGGAATAGGCACGCGTTCACTGATAGATGCTTGATTCTCTTCTTTTCAGAATGCCAATCTGCAACCTGCAGAACAACAGTGCATGCGCCGCATCCACCCTCGCCACACCCTAGCTTCGTGCCTTTGAGGCTCGGCTGAGCGCGGATGTAGTCCAGCAGAGTCCAGTGTGGGTTCGGATTGGTGATGATTGTTTTCCTTCCGTTGATCCACGTTGTTATGTCTGGTGTTCTGAATGTCGTCTCGATGAGAGGTGTAAGGGCTTCGGTAGCGGAAAGGCCCCGCGGCGGATCTGCACTGCTTTTCGGCGGAATCGGCAGAGACATGACGGGTGTCAAACCTGAGCAGACAGGTAATGAGGCCGAGGCGATAGAGAATGCGATGTTCTCTTCATAATATCCTCACCCAACATCCGTTTCCGCAGTATTCACACCCTTCTCACGTAATGCGATCGCTGATTGGCCTTTCTGCGCGAGACGACTGTTCCGATGATAGACGATTTCGCCTTTCCGATGGCCGGGCCCACAGTACCCCACTCTTGGAACAAAGCGCAACAGCGTCGTACAGATGGCTGTTGGTTCGTACTCCGCAAACACCAGCCTCGTCATACGCTTTGCTGTATCTGCCCCTCCCCCATTTCTGTATCTGCAAACACCACTCACCAACATGGGATCTGCGGCGATGGTGACCACCGTTTCTGGCACTAGCGCCAGGTACATAGGAGACCCTGAGCAGCAGCCATGTAGCTGTTACAACTCTTTTGTGGCAGCAGCGACTTCATTCTCTCCTTTTCGCAGCCATCAGTGCAAGTGCGATACCAACAAATATGCCGAAAGCAGATAGTCCGACAGGCTTCAAGCCACTCAAAGAGACTGCGCTTTTCTCGCCGTTCAAACTCGGCCCTCTGGATCTGGAGCACAGAATAGTGCAGGCGCCATTGACACGCATGCGAGCAACCAAAGAGGGAGATGGAGTGTTCGTACCGGAAGAGCTACACGTTGAGTACTACAGCCAACGCGCAAGCAAGGGTGGATTGCAATTGACAGAGGCTACTGACATTGCCAAATACGTGGGTAGTGCGCGGCCAGTCGAAGCAAACGTGCTGACTTGGACTAGGCCAGCGGATACCCAGGTGTACCGGGTGTGTTCTCGGACTCCCAAATCGCCGGCTGGAAGAAGGTCACGGATGCTGTCCACGCAAAAGGCGGGTACATCTTCTGCCAGCTGTGGCATACCGGGCGTGCTAGTCCACCGTCCTTCCGGGCCGGAGCGCCAACGGTTAGCTCGAGCGACGTGCCTATGGAAGGTAGTTGGCTTGACGGTGTTGCGTGCGCTGATCATCCACCTAAGCCATTGACGGTTGAAGAAATTCAAGGGTTGACAAAGACCTGGGCAGAAGCCGCGAAGAAGGCGGTTGGGGCCGGTTTCGACGGTATCGAGATCCACGGCGCGAATGGGTACTTGCTTGATCAGTTCCTACACGACAATGTTAACAAGAGAACGGATCTGTATGGCGGGTCAATCGAAGGACGCAGTCGCTTTCCGCTTGAAGTCATCCAAGCCTGCTCCAAAGCCATCGGTGCTGACAGAGTTGGCATTCGTCTCAGCCCATACAACTATTTCCAGAACACCAAGGATAGCAATCCCAACGATCACTGGGAGTACCTATGCGAGAAGATCGCGTCGCTCCCGCAGGGTGAGAGGCCGGCATATGTCCACATGTGAGTTGAATCACTTCAGTTCCCAGGCTGATGCTGACGATAGCCAGGGTCGAACCGCGCTTCGATGAAGTCCTCGACGAGCAAGCCAAGATGGACGCTCTGGCCGCTTACACCACACAAGGAGGCAAGGGCGTGGAGGCGGAGGCGACGGTCAAGGTCAAGGGCAACACGCTCGTCAACTTCCGAAACATCTTAAAGAAGGGTGGCGTGAAGTTCATTGCGGCTGGTGGATTCAATAGAGACAATGCCGCGCCCAAGGTAGAGTCCGGAGATGCTGACCTCGTCATCTTCGGTCGGTGGTTCATAGCGAACCCGGATCTGCCCAAGCGCCTCGCTGAGGGCCTAGAGCTGAATCAGTATGATCGCGACACCTTCTATGGCGCTGATCCGCCGCAAAAGGGGTACACAGATTATCCTTTCCATGTACAGACGGTGGCTGTTTAAGGAGGACTTGATTCTCGATGCATCAGCGGCGCTGGAAAAATAGCTGTGTTATTCTCTTCTTGATAAAATAAGGTGCAGATGATTTGACCGCGTCCAAAAGTGAGTCTCGTATCTACTGTTGAGTGTCGATGTCATGATCAAGTGTCGCCAAGATACGCGTCGCAGCGAACGCGAAACCGACGCGTCGGCGGAGCAGCCGGGTGGGGTCAAACTTGGTTTTTAGCGGCAACCGGAGCGACCTCGGGAGCTTGACCGCCGGGGCCCGCCTTCGTGCGATCCATCCCATCCTCTCCAGGTACATACGTCTCTACAACGACCCATACTTCGAAAGTCCCATCAATCATCATGGTCAAGGCGACGGACCGCGAACGGCCGACCACAAGGAGCCTTGCCAGAGGCGGCGTTAGGCCGTCAGAATCCCTCCCGCTTTCGAAGGACACATCGACAAACAAGGGAGATTACATCAGTGCACTACCGGACGAGATACTACTGAGAATCCTGGAATACCTCCCCGATGTTGTGCACCCAACGAGTAAATTTACAGTGACAGACCTCGAAGGCGACGCAATCCGGCCCCGACGGCCGATTCTCGACTACGCATCGGTAGCTCTGACATGCCGCTCTCTTAACCGCGCCGCCACAACCATGATGTATAGAAAATATGATCATTGCTACGATACCGAACCATCAACCCGATTCATCAGGAGTCTGATCACCAACCCTGCGCTAGGTGCGTTGGTAAAAGAGATGAAAGAGGTTGGCCAGGTATCTATCGGAGACGAGCACATGAGCTCTCGCATCCGCAGCTTTCAAGACATACAGATGATTTGCTCTAAGATTGAGAGTCTCGGCATTCCTAACGAAGAATATGCTACACTTTTACGCAAAGGTGAAGACGCATTCAGTGCTTTGGAGTCAGCCTTGATCCTATGGCTCACGCCCAACATCGAGACCGTCGCCCTGAATTGTTGTCCAGGAGCAGCACGTGCCGAAGGAGAGAATCAGAGTTGGGTCCAGCGCCAGCCACAGGCGGCGTTATTACCTATTTTCTCCGCAAGCCTAGGGATACCTTATGGTCGTGTGCACCAGTTCACAAGGCTGAAAAGACTGAGTATCCGAATGCTAGGATTGCACATCAACTGGCTAGCGCCCATCCTTCGGCTAGACTCTCTACGGGAAGTAGTCCTGTCAGACCACGATTATCTTGAATCCAGTCTCAGCGACCCCCCTTTTTCCTGGGGATGTCCCCCGAAGAGGTCCAAGGTCGAAAAAATACGACTGGAAAACTTCGAGTGTGATCTTGAATTGTTGGAAAATCTTCTTGGCTCATGCAAGGCACTTACATCCTTCTCTTGGGGGTCGTCAACACATGCCACAGGCAATACCCAGTGGCAGTGGTCTGAGGCTAAGGCCTTGTTGGAGACGCTACAACCCGGACTTCAAGCTCTGGAGTTGTGCGAACGCCGTGAATACAGCGATACGAGGTTGGGTACACTCCAAAAGTTTGCCAGTCTGCGGTATCTTGCTGTACCGTTTGAACTCTTGATTAGTATGCAATACCCGTCATTGATCTGTAACTTGCTGACCCACGCTAGGTCCTCTCGACAAGCCGGAAGAGCGGAGTCTCGACAAGCTTCTGCCAATGGGTCTGGAAACACTCGTACTCAGCAAGGGTTGGGACTCTTGCGGCGGGCGAGGCGTATTTGACGTGCGGTATGAACGACCTCAATGCGATCCACAAGTCCAAAGCCTACTTGATGCATGTCAGAGTGGCAGCATTCGTCTTCAGAAATTTGGCATCATAATGTATGTGCTGGGCGAGAATCATGACGTCTCAGAGAGGGAGATTGACGCACACTTCAACTTCCACGAATATGCCATCCAGTGCAGGCAATGCGGGATTCATTTTGACTTTGTCATCAAAGTTCGCACTTGTGGAGATAGTAAGTCCAACCCCACAACTGGCATGTCTCGTTCCGCGTACTGACTATACGCGTACAGTTCTACCAGCTTTTATTGAAGCATGGCCTACAGCGAATGAAGAGATTGCGAATGAGTACATGCAGCACCTCTATTGTCCAGATGGCTGGGTATCGAATGGCTGGCAACCTTGTGGCCACCAACTACAGGGTATCTCAAAACCCGCTTTCTTCGATACATACGACGACGCGTATGATCTTGATCACAGAACTTCTGTCCTCAAGGAGCGCGATGATGACTGACTGTAAGTATGACAATCTGAATGCCTGTATATGGGGTGGAAGCGATGGCATAGCGAACTCGTTGCAGAGAAGGAAGTCTCTTTGTCTTTGCTGCCGAGTCAACACCTAGTACAATCACAACGCGTTACTGTTAAACCACGAAATTGGGGGTTTTCTAAACGGCTACCACCGTATCGACGAACAATTTGACCCTACGTCACGATAGCTCCTTACTGCTCATCCAGACCCAGCCTACGCTGATGAATGTGAACTCTCGAACTCGTCCACAATCTCCTCCGCAAGAAAGATATCCGCACCATTCGTGAAACCATTAACCAGAAAACGCCACAACCGGCGCGCGAGAACCAATGCTGGGGAGTACGCCTCCTTCAGGAAGCTCTCGCCCACAACACCCTCAAAAGCGCGCTTAGCCTCCAACAAATCCGCCTCCTTCGGTTCGACCAACGCACCGCCTTCCTCGCCTTCGCTGCCCATATTGCCACTCCATAGGAAGAACGGGGCGCGCGTGCTCATGAAAGCCGGCGCGAATAGCGCGGAATCCCAGCCTACGATTCCAGTAATCGCTATTTCTGACTCCGAAGTGACAGAGGCGAGAAGATTGCGCGCATGGAAGTCGCCATGGTAGAAGTGGAACGGTGAAGAATCTGGGATGAGGCCGGACTCATGTAATGTCTCAACCACTTTGGCGATCCTAACCCATAGTTCTTTGCCACCAGGTTGTTTCGCAGCAGTCGAATATGCACGCTGGCGAGCACATAGATCGAGCAAGAAGTCTTTCGTGCTTTGCGGATCTGAACGTGCGACGTTGAAGGTCACTTGGCCAGTGGTATGTTTGATTCTGGGAATGGGTACAGGCTCCGTGCTGACGAAATCGTGTTTGAGATCGTAAGTTGTGTTGCGGATGCCGATGGGACCAGGGCACTTGTTCCTTATCTTCCTTACATTTAGCAGGATGGTGGAGATGGCTCGCACGGCACTAAGTCGTTGGGCTTGGTTCAACTTTGACCAGAGGACGTCCAGGCGTTGGCCAGGCAGCCGCTTTTGGAGCATGTAGGATCTACCAGGCGCATTGTGTGCGGTCGGATCAAAGGTGACAATCTTGGGGACCGGATTTTCGAGTTTCAGGCCCAGATACGCTAAAATGACACTTTGGTGGTGCATGCATTGATCAGGATTGTGTGGTATGCGAAGAACAAGACGCTTTCGCTTGTTTTGACGTGTCGGCCGACCTGTAAGACATGGCTGAAGTATTTCAAGAATTCTCTGAGTTGTGTACCATGGCGCTTTAGGTGGGATCTTGCAAAGCGTGACGCTGAGGAGGCGATTCTTTTCTCCGTCTTGCATGCGTTCGATCTTTACGTCTCGGGCGCAGTAACCAGGAAAAAGATCGAAGATGAGCTGTGAAGCTTTGTGCTTAAGAGTTTCGAAAGGCTCATATTCAGGTCCGCGTTTGACTTCTGGTGGTAGCGGGACATCTTTCCGCGCGTCGTCTCCAATGTCTTCATCATCGCTAATGACGGAGACCGCATCAGCTTCAGTCTGGTCGCCTACGGCATGCTTATCGGTCAAGGGTTCAGCAGGCGCCATCTTTTCCACTGGATGGAGGCGTGTCGATAGTCAATCCGGTCAATTTCGACTCGCGCACCGCGAATATTGACAGGGAGAGATGGTGTTTTTAGATTTTGAGTAAAGCTCCAGTGGGCATACATTGTCAATGAAATAAGTATTGGTTTCTTTGTTCTGGTTTACATGGTGTGAGACCTGGACTCTCTGTTTGTCGCACATGCAAAGGCTATACAATCACCCAGACACACTGAAGAAGGCGGTTTTGCTGATGTCTTGTAGCCGTGGTCGTTGTCTCAATCATTTGAAGACATGGGCCCAAATGCTCACAATGCTGCCCGCTGCACTTCGTCCATACTGACTCCATGATGCTCGTTTCCGCGTGGACTCCAAACGTCACATGTTCGAGTTCGGGACTGTAGAAGGGCATCGTGGTTTCTCCGGAATCGTCTGCCACCGGGAGTTTGGGCTATGACGACTGCCAAGACGCTAAACGTCATCTCCGCTTCGGCCCATGTCTCCCGAGATCTCAACACCAACAATCTTCACGATGCAACAGCTGCAGTTCAACATAGCCATTGTTCTTCATCGCCACATTATCGGCAGCCTGTGAACTTTGTTGATCGCTTTATGTTGGTATCTAAAATTCACCGCCATGCTTCACATACCCGCGGACGCAGCGCCTGGAATTGATACCTGAAACGCCTCGTGGGACAGTCGTGGCGCTGCCCAGCTCACGCCTTCAAAGATTCCATCAAGCTACATATGACTTGTTTTTGAGAAACTGTGAAAGGCTTTCGCACGGTCACTCGAATCGCAGGCGTGACTTCAGCGTAATCTTGGGCTTGTTTACCGGTAAGCAAAATACACAGTACCTAAGATCCTTATCATCTGCGCGAAGCAACTTACATTCAACTTCCACACACATACTCTGGCTAGCTGATCTATCATGTCTCTGAACAAGCTTACAGTGTCTATGAGGACAAGTGCGTTCAAGGCCCTGGATGAGGCGTTATATGGCCCCGAACATGGTTTCGGGGAACGAACACTACCCCTAGAGATGAGGTCTCGCACCTCCGGATTCTCCATCAAGCTGCCGCTTATCTGTCGATACGAAGACAACAAACCAACACTCTTACTCGATAAAGTGACGAAACATGTATGGGATCTCCTCTGCGGTCATGTCGAAGAGGAGCGCATCATCAAGATCAAACTCGATGATGGTGCCGAAACCTATGACGCAAGGCTCTCGATACCAGGCCGCGAACCGCTTGAACGTAAAAGGGCCGAAGTGAATCTTCAGTGGCAAGAGTACGAAGAAGCGAAGCATGCGCTGAAAAAAGGTCTTGAGTGGATAAAGGAGAAACTTGCATGATGAGAAGGAACCTCTCCGCTAATAAAACTGCAGTGTCTTTCCTTGAGATCTGCGATTACTTCAATTGGTCCCTGATATGCTAACTTATTATGATGCAACTTCCGGTCACACGATCTTGTGCATGACAACCCCGGCCCTTCCTGAGGGATATAAAAACCGGTAGTGTCAGGCCAAGTGCATGAGACAATGGCATGAGGTGGGTGGTATGTTGAAGAGAGCGCGCGTGTTCAGCCTGGCGGTCAACGCAAAGGGAGATCTTTGAGATGTTGACATAACAACACCACCAGGTCTAGAAGCACAGAAAGATTCGAACCGATTCTAAATCCCGACACGTCAACGGGAGCTAGATTAGCGCTGCGCGAAACGCCTTCCTCCTTGAGCTTTCCACGTGTCGCGGCAGATCGATGATACACGTTACGAGACTGGCTCCAGATTGACGTCTTCACCGCGAGCCTCGTCCGAGAGTTTTGCAGTCTTGTCGCCTCAGACCCATACCCTTATCGGACCGGTGAGGGCGGGTTTAACGGATATGGTGCGCACGCACCGCTTGAGGCTCAAAAACGTCGTCAAAGTGGGTCCGATGCCGTCGGCGTAGATCGGCGAAAGAGCAAAACACTAGGATAACGAAACGGCAACCTCATACCGTCTGTTGATGTATTACAAATGCTGGAAAACTTCTAGAAAATGTGTATAGGTATAAGACTGACGAGAAGTAGTAGTAGATTCTGCATCTCATCAAACCATCCTAACGTCTCTCACAACAATTCATCCCTTCCCCTCCATTCAGTAACGTCAACAAACAATCATGTCTTCCTCACCAGACTTCAAGGGATGGGTCGCCCATGACCCCTCCGCCGCCGATGGCAACATGCAATGGGGTGACTACACCCCCAAGAAGTTCGAGTCTACCGACATCGAGATGGAGATCAGCCACTGTGGTGTCTGCGGCTCCGACATCCACACTCTCCGCTCCGGCTGGGGCCCCTCAGACTACCCTCTCGTCGTTGGTCACGAGATCATCGGAAAGGTCACCCGTGTAGGAGACGATGTCAAGGACCTCAAGGTCGGTGACCGCGTTGGTGTCGGTGCTCAGAGCGACTGCTGCGAGGGCTGCAGGCCCTGCAAGACCAAGCAGGAGAGCAACTGCAACAACTTCGTCATGACCTACAACGCCAAGTACAGCACTGGCGACAAGGCCATGGGTGGCTACGCAAAGAACTGGCGCGGACCTGCCGCCTTCGCCATCCCTATTCCCGAGGGTCTTCCTTCAGAGTTCGCCGCTCCCCTCATGTGCGGTGGTGTAACTGTCTACAACCCTCTCGTCTCATACGGTGCCGGCCCAGGAAAGCGCGTCGGTGTCGTCGGTATTGGTGGTCTCGGTCACTTCGCCCTCCTCTTCGCGAAGGCTCTCGGATGCGACGAGGTCGTTGCCATCTCCCGTTCCTCCAGCAAGAAGGCCGATGCTCTCGAGCTCGGTGCTGACAAGTTTATCGCTACCGGGGAGGACCCCGACTGGATGAACAAGAACGCCGCCGGCCTCGACATCATCATCTCCACCATCTCCGGTGGCTTCCCTCTCGACCAGTACCTCAACCTCCTCGACGTCAACGGTACTTTCGTTCAGCTCGGTGCCCCCGACGACCCATTGCCCTCTTTCTCCCCCATGGGTCTCATCTTCAAGAACTTGAAGATCGCCGGTAGCTTGATCGGTACCAGGCAGCACATCCGCGACATGTTGGAGTTGGCCAAGAAGACCAACCTCAAGGCTTGGGTTCAGGTCAGGCCCATGTCTGAGGCCAACGATGTCATCGTTGACTTCGAGAAGGGCCTTCCCAGGTACCGTTACGTGCTCAAGAACTAGGAGTTTATGATTAGATGAGACGATACCCTTTAGTTGTAGTTTGTGTAGTATAGACGAATTGAGCCTTTACCTTCTCATCAATCATGTCGTAGTCGCAAGAACCAGTGATACAAACTGCACGTGATGGGCCTTCTTTGTTCATGTCTGCTGTTCAATAGCCGCTAACAAACACTGCGCGACTATAAGAGCGACACATCATTTGCGAAGCTCATTACCCTGCCACAGAAACCGCTCATTGAAACAGATATCCGATTTGCTTGCCAATGATGCTTTCGATCTTCTGCTGCTCAGATATCCAGGGATATAGGAACCGTTATCTGTCCCACGAATCTAAGTTCGAAACATTCATGGATTGGGCGAACTACCCCAAAGCAAGCGACACTGGTACTGCGCCGTCAGCAACGAGCGTTGAGTTCGCAGTTCAAGTTGTCAAGCAAACTAACTACGGTCCACTGGATAGCAAGAGATACTTTGTTACCGGTTCCGATGACACATTCGCTGAGGTGACTGAGCAGTGGCTCATTGATGCGGACTTCGAGAAGCTGAACACGTCAGTGTAGCGAAGATAACGAATTGAGAAATATGTGACTAATAGCACTGTAGGTTCAAAAACTTCAAGTGCGCGACTCACAACAAGTTCTTCGAAGTCAACATCTACCAGAAGAACCCAGTGAACGCGCACACCTGGCGTACCAACATCGCGAGACCTGCAGCTCAGATTGATCTTTGAAGTACTGCAGCTGTCAGAGAGACCACTGCAGAGTGTGACACAGCGAGAATGTTGATCATTCAATGTCGCGATCAGTAGCCGAGTGCAATACATGGAAGCCTTCGTTGCAAGACTTCGGCCCCCCAACATACTTCGCACTAACAACGCTAAGCTCGAAGACTGCCAAATTACTCCTCCAACTCCCAGACAGGCTTGTGCATCCTCAACCGATCAAGGAAACACCTGACCCACATCTCCACCCCTTCCAAACGTTCCAACCAACTCATTTCTTCCAACAAGTACCCGTAATCCTGATCCCGGCACATACACGAACCGAAGCGAGAGTTGAGTCTGCACTGCTTTTGATCCCAATAACAGTCCTCCGTCCTGTGAACCTCGACTACGGCGCGGATGTAGATGATCTCTAGACACTCACACTTTTCTGAAAGGTATACGATGGCCTGGATGAGAGCTTCTGTAGACTTGGGCGCAACGCCACGGAGACCACGCCGCTTGCGTGAACTCCAAGTCACGGAGCCTTGGAGGTAGGGCTGTATCCGGAAAGAGGTAAGAAAGCGACAGTGATCTGCGATGTAGCGTACAGAGTGTGCTTGGCGGACTAGTATGGAGCGGGGTGAGACTTTGGCCATGCGATGAGGGTTGTCGGTGGAATATGTATGACCACAGTTCTCAGTAAGGGTGATCTTGGTCAGGTTGGAAAACTGCTCATCCTTGAGGTGCATGCGATAGAAGCCCCTGAAAGGTCAGACTCGAATACTGGTGATTTAGGCAATGTGGTAAGCTTACCTCGGTCGATCATTGCCGTAGTTCCCTCCTCCGTGTGGGTCACTGAAATGAACAGCCTTGCTGCTAACCTGGAAACCAAACACTATGTCGATGCTCTGGAAAATCGTATCCCAAAGTTCGCGTCGAATGCCTTTGGAGACGAATAGAAGTCCGCACCGCCAATCGAATAGCTGCAGAGCTTTAGTGACGTACGACTTGCTCTCGTGTGATTTACCTCTTCTACGCAATCCCACCTTGATTGTCTTGGTGAATGAGTAGTCGCATATTTGACATTATAAAAACCCTCTGGGAACAAATCCTACTTTGGGAAGAGGATATATTGTAAGGTTGTGCGTACACACATTCTACCTTGCTTCGTAGCAATAGGCTCCCATACTTTGCCGCCGATGGGGAAGTCGAGCTATCTATAAATATCGTGACGAATCTCTAACGGAAGTTGCTCGAACAATGACAACGATGGGCGAGTATATGCGCGGCCGGTACCCTGTGTGCGTCTAGACGGTACGGCTATGTCTTCGACAGCATCGAGATATCTTCGAATCGGCACGACGGGGTAGTTAGTATTCATACCTGTGGCCATAGCTATAGACCTGAGCTCTCGGTTGAGCGTGTGTGTGCGTAGAACTGGTGAATGTCGAGACTTTGCAAGGGGGTTAGCTCAAAAACACAGGCGAAAATACCCAACCAAGAATGTATGTGCCAGTTGGAGTGAGCTCTGTGCGTCACTGACTGCAGTTCGTGTAGTCTGAAAGTCGATTCATTGTATCGCAGCCCTAAAAGCTCTCTGTAATCCCAGCCTTGATACCTTCCAACTTCGTCGTCAGCTCTTTCCAAACCCTCTCTTGATCCCTCTTCCCCTCCTCACTCCGCACGTACGGGCTCGGTTCGGTAATCTCACAATCACTGAGATACTTGCCGTGCGTCTCAACACCTGAAATACCAGCGTGCGTGAGAGTCCTCGATCCGACTTCCGTTTTCCGCGCAAGCAGGAAGCGTCCAATCGCGACGGCAATCCCATTTTCGCGACCAAATTCGCTTTCAAAGAATTAGCATAAGAAGGTAGCGAAGGGTGGTGCAGTAGACTTACGAGTGGCAGAAGCCAGGGTTGACCAAATTTACCGTGACTGGAATGTCCGATTCGGGGTATCGCTCGCAGAATGCGCGGACGAAAAGTATTTCCAGTAGCTTGCTAACCTGATACCGGTTGTTTAGGCTAACGTCCTTTCCATTAACAACCTTCTCGTTCAGTCTCTCGAAGAGCTTGCCCTCGGGTGCTTTCCTCTCGTCGAAAGTCGCCCATTCGTGCACCTCAGAGCTCACAATGGTAAGCGTGGGTCTGGTGTTGAACTTGCTTGCCGTCTCCTTGAGCTTGGGTAACAAGGCGAAGGCCAGCAGGAAGGTAGAAACGACGTTGACGGTGATGGTGGACTCGTCTTGCTCGAAGACTTCCCACGCGGCGCGGGTTACGCCGGCGTTGAGGACTGCGATGTCCACTCGTTCGAGCTCTTTGCTTGCCTTCTGGGCGAAATCGAGGACGGATTGGTAGGATGACATGTCGAGTTGCATGACTTTGACTACATTGCTGCGGCCTGTGGTTGATTCGATGTCCTTGCGCGCCGCCTCGCCTTTCTCGATGGAGCGCACGGCGAGAATGACGGTGGAGGCGTTGAGCTGGGTGAAGTGACGTGCGGCTTCCTTCCCAAGACCGACATTAGAGCCAGTGACGATGATGGTCTTGCCAGTTAGGTCGCCGGTGGGCTTGGGTGGCGTAACAAACAGTTGGGAATAGAAGAAGCGCCTGATACTAGCCATGATGATTGACGGGCTACGAGCGTGGGAGGTATTGGTCTGAATAGGTGATGAAGCTTTTCGATGTTGAGGGCGCTCTTGCGCTTTTAACGTCGTGATATCACGGTGGGCTTGAAGGTCGCGCTTGACTAGGGCAAGCGCGCACCTTGACGGCACGCGGGGGTTCGCTTTCAATCCCTCCGTCCCGCACCGAGAGAATGTATTCTTGGGATATGATATCACCGAGTTCCAGACCTTCCTGGGCAGCATCCTTGAGATTCACGCCAAAACAAGCTACTGTGGAGTGCGACGAACCACACAGGACCGTGACGGACCAAACGATTCCCTCATCTTCAGTAGCGTCGGGCTTAGCGACGGCAGCTACGGCATTAACGCGGAATTAGCTCCTATTCATCATCATCTCACGGGCGGTCCAACAGAGCTGTAGCGGGTTCAGGCCACCACTTTTATTATCGGTAAACAGTGTTCACATGGCAAATTCATCGAGTGCAATAACAATGCGGTGTGATATCTAGGCAAGCTATTGAGCGCAATCTGGCACTCTAGCCTAGGTATTCAAGATACGATCACATCCTCGTACCATCTCAGCGATGTGCATGCTAACATCCCCTGGAACCAAATTAGTGTACAAATGCTGAGCTTCACTCTCCCATTTTGGTACTCCTCAACGCGGCAATAATGGCGTGCAACTGCACAGACCCGAAGAAGTCGAACGCGCAACTCAAACAATCTCATATCTACCAGGCATCAACGTCAAAGCCCTCCTCAGAGAACTCTGTCGCGACAACCGTTCTCCGGGAGAACTGACGACCGGCAAGCGCCTTGATAGCCTTCTGCGCAGACTCTGTGTCCTTGTACTTGATGTAGATCTTGCCAACACCGAGGTTGACGCGGGCACCAGCGGGGCGGGGGATCTTGGTCTCGATAATGGGTCCGTACTTGCCGCACTCCTCTTCGATGTCCTCCTTGATTTCTGTTTGATGTTAGAAGTGCGCAATGTTTCATGTGATGTTGCCGAGCTTACCTTCGTATTCATCATCGTTCAGCAGCTCGTCCGAGGTGACCATGTTCATCAGGCAGATGACACGGCTGTGCTCGTGGTTCTCAGCAGCGCTGGCTCCTGCCAACATTGAGATGGCTCCAACTCCACCGTCGAGACCAGTCGTCTGCTGAAGTCCGACAGTTGCGCGCGAAACCTTGAGGTTACCATCGCCGAGTGGGATGTCGTTGAGACCCTCGATGACGGCGTCGATGACTCCGTTGTCAGCATACTCGCAGAATGCAATACCCTGGGCTGTGTTAGTTCAGTAGGTTCAGTGGGTTAGGAGGATGCCTACGCGGTGCTGGTCGGTACCAGTATCCTTGACCAAAGTGAAGGCCTTGAGCTTGCCCATAGTCTCGACGAGCTCTCGAATCTGCTCCTCTTCGATGTATGTGGGGATGTTGACGATGCTCAGCTTGTTCGGGCTGTCCTTGACAACAGATGAAACCTCATCGCCAGGTGGGTATGCGTTCTCGTCGGCGGTGGGAGTAATATAGTCCTTGGGACGGCGGATAGACAGACCCGACCTATCAGGTGCGCCTCCGTCATCACGCATGGAAATGCCGTTCATAGCGAGCGCGAGGGTCGCATCTTCGGCTGCCTTGAACTCCAATGCAGCGTATTCCTTGCTCGTAGCGATGTGGGCAGACAGGCAGGGGTCGTTGCCAGATACGACATTGAGACCGTTGAGCTGGTTGTTGAAGAACTCCATAATCTCTTGGGAAGTGCAGCCCTGGGGCAGGTTGTGGACATAGAGACGCTTCGATTGCTTCGCGCCGGATGTCGCAAGGGCAGCAGCGGTGGCGGTTCCTGCGGAGGGCGAAATGAAGGCGGCGAGTTTGGACGGGTCCATGGGTGCAGCGCGAGGAGCTCCCGGCAGCGGGAACATGCCCGACAGCTTGGCCTGCTCGGCGGTGATGTTCTCGTAACCTGCAGGCTTGATGTCCCATTGCGTCATGCGACGCTCGCGCTTCTGGATGTTGGTGAAGGTAGTGAGATCGGGGGTAGCCTCGCGCGGCTTGTTGAATGGCGGAGACTCCTCTTTTTGCGCACGCATCCTATCACGTCCGCCGCCAAAGCCTCCATCGCGTCCTCCTCGTCCGCCTCTGCGCTCTTCGCCTCCGAATCGGTCGCCGCCCCTTTCGTTGCGGTCTCCGCGTTCCCGTCGGTGGCCACGGTCGTCGTCGCGGTCGCGGTCGCCTCCTCGAGGTCGGTCGCGTCGGGAGTAGGAATCGCCCCAAGCACCGCGCTCGGCACCACGCTCTGCTCCACGCTCGCCCCGGTCATCGCGACGCTCACGGCGGGCGTATGTGTCTTCGCGCTCGCGCTCGCGGTAGTCGCGGCTGGAAGAGTACGTGTCTACCTCGTAGTCGCGGCGGGAGCCTCCGCCATGGCGTGGGGAGCGAGAACGACGGCGGCGCCTGTCGCCACCACGGTCGCCCCGTTCGCCGCGATCGCGATGGTCATCTCTCGAGGACTGTTCTGTCAGCGTACGCTCGCTTTTGTCGCGACGAGTGTCGGCACTCACGTAGTTGCGCGATCCGCTGGATCGGCCACCGTCTGCTTATGTTAGTCTTGGTTCTGGGAGCTGTGCACTAGTCAGTACGTGTACTGATAGACTCGCTTACCTCTGGAATAGCTATCGCCGTTCATGGTGGGCGGGTGTGGGTGCTAGGAGCTCTTGCGCCGTCGGGTGTTCAGCCGCGTAAGATGCTGCTGCTGACGGGAGTGAGATGGCGGGAGAAGCTGCAATTAGCAGGTCTGATCAAGGAACAGTGGATGAATCAGCAGCTCGCAACTGTCCGGGCTCTAGGACGCGATGCTTGTGCGGTGGTTGCGGTTGCCGTCGCGGAAAACGTGTGAGAGAAAGTCGGGGCCTGCCTTAGCGTGCCGTTCCCTTGGCGCGGCTACCCCTGTCATCGAGGCTAGACCCAGCCCAGGATGCATCATTCACTCCTGGCGCAGACCACGACTATAACGACAATGGCATTACGCGCCGCTGAATGGCACAAGTTGCCTACAAGCCTTACTGAGCTATGCATCAACACTACCTTGCGATGTGGGCAATCATTCAGGTATCTCCCCACGTCCCCAGTACTCGAGTCGCAACACTTCCTAACGTGCGACCAGATGGCGCAAGTCAGCTGATGACGTGTGGTCCATGGCCCTTCATGGTCGCATACTGTCCCTCCGTCAGGATGCCGAATATCTCCACTACCGCGCGACCTACCCACCTGTCACCACCGCTCTCCCTACTCCGCCTCCGTCTAAAGCGCCCTCAGTCGCCCCCGAAGAAGACGACACCGCTGCTCTCATAAAGCACTACTTCAACTTCGCGCCCAATCTTGGCCAGCTGTACGAGCAATGGGCAGCCTCCGACGCCAACTTCAAGAAGCGCGCACCCAAGTTCACGGGTATCAGGATTCTGCGACAAGACGCTTGGGAGGCCCTGATCGGCTTTATATGCAGTAGCAACAACAACATCAGTCGCATATCGGGCATGGTGCACAATCTTTGCTTGCACTACGGACCACATATAGGCACCATCGACGACATACCCTACCATGACTTCCCCACCCCCGATGCCCTCTCGGGCCCCGACGTCGAAGCGCATCTCATGAAGCTTGGTTTTGGATACCGCGCCAAATACATTGCGAAGACTGCGCGAATGGTTTCCGAGGACAAAGGCATGAAGTGGTTGGAGGACCTGAGCAATCCTGAGTGTCCGCAGTTTGGCATGGAAGAGAAGCCCGCCGGAGAGATGCTCGAAGGTGGTCGAGAAGGATATCGCCAAGCACATGAGGAGCTTCTTGCCCTCCACGGCGTGGGTCCCAAGGTCGCAGACTGTGTGTGTCTCTTCGGCCTCGGCTGGTCCGAGTCTGTACCCGTCGACACCCATGTGTGGCAGATTGCGCAGAAAGACTACAGGTTCGGCAAGGGCAAGCACAGTAGCTTGACCGCCGCCACATACGCTGCGATTGGAGACCTGTTCCGGAAGCTGTGGGGGAAAGAAGCTGGATGGGCGCATTCCGTTTTGTTCACGGCGGACCTGAAGACATTCTCGGATAGGGTCGTTGCGAAGGTCGAGGTGAAGGAAGAGGAAGTAACAATCAAAAAGGAGGAAGAGGACATTGTTCTGGAAGAGACAGTCAAAAAGGAGGTCATCAAGCGGAAGCGCATAAAGAAGGAGCCCGAGGAGGAGCCGACTGTGATAGTGAAAAAAGAGGGAACTCGCAGGAGCAAACGACAAAGAACTTAGGTCAGCCTTATAATCAACACGTTAACACCCTTACCCTCGTACAACTGGGCAGCTCATTGCTGTCCGTCACCCTAGTGTCACGTTCGATCATTGCACCGCTGCAACCAAAAAAAAATGCTCTTTTTACCCTCACACGCAAAAAAGATCAAAAACATACAACAGCCAAGAAGGAGGCTGCCAAGCGGAAGCGTATAAAGAAGGAGCCCGACGAGGAGCAGCCAGTGGTCATGATGAAGCAAGAGGGCACACGTAGGAGCAAGCGACAAAGAGCTTAGACTAGCCCTTCAATCAAGACTTGAACATCCTCATCCTCGTATAGCTCATAGCTGCCAGTCACTAGTGTCGTGTTCCACGAGTCTACCGCCCTAGCAGATGTGATCATTGTGTTGTAAGCTTTGCGGGGAAGCGTCCTCATAAGGGAAGCTTCTTGTAGGCTCGTCTATATCTGTTCCACTATGACTACGCAGAAAGCTTGTCTGGAGCCTTGCGGGAGTGAGTTGTGCGACAAAAAGGAATTGGTGTGTCCGTCCACAAGCAGAAAAGATTAAGAACGGATTTGAAGAATTGCCGTCATGGCAATTCGACGTTCTGGCAATTTGACGTTCTGGCCATTTGCCGTTGCGGCAGTCTGACGTTCTGGCAATCTAACGTTCTGGCAGTCTGATGTCCTGACAGCTTGATGGTCTGACAGTTTGAAGGTCTGGCAATCTGACGGTTTGGCAATTTGACGTTATGGCTATTTGACGTTATGGGAATCTGACGTTCTAGCCATTTGACGTTCTGGCAATTTGAAGTTCTGGCAACCTGACGTTCTGGCCATTTGGCGTTCTGACGATTTGACGTTCTGGCAATTGTACAGAAAAGGTTAGGAACACATTTGAGGAAATGCCGTCCTGGCAATTTGACGTTCTGGCAATCTGACGTTCTGGCAGCGTGACTTTATGGAAATCTAACGTTCTGACATTTTGACGTTCTGGCAATCCTACAGAAAGCATGAGCAGCAAATTTGTAGATTCGCCGCTCTGGCAATATACTGCTCTGGTCATTCTACGGAAAGGATGAGAAGCAGATTCGTGGATTTGTTGGTCTGGCAATTTGCCGTCCTGGCAATTCTACGGAAAGATTAGGATGACATTTGTAGGAATGCCGCTCCAGCATTGTATTGTTCTGGCAATCCTACAGAAAGGTTAGGATTAGATCTGCAAGATTGCCGGCCTAGTATCTTGCCGATCTAGCAGCTCTACAGAAAGGTTAGGATTACACCTGTAGAATTGCCGCCGTAGCAATTTGCCGTTCTGGCATTTATACAGAAAGGTAGGAACAAGAGTTGTATAATTACCGCCCTGGTATCTTGCCGATCCGGCAATTCCATACAAAGGTAGGAAGCAGATTTGTAGGGTTCCCGCTCTGGCGATTTGCCGTTCTAGAGATTCTACCAAAAAGATAAGAAGTACATCACAGACTTACTAGTCTACCGATTCGATATTCTAGTAGCTGTAGATTATATACAGTAGAGTGAATGCTAAATTATTAAAGTAACTATTAGACAAAGTGGAGAATTTTGGAAGTTAAGAAGTTAGGTTTTCAACAATTTCTAAGTTGTGGAATTACGAGTTTAGGAGTTTGTCAAAAATATAAAACCTGAATTTACAAAATAGCTAAGTTATACGTTATGTAAATTGGAGATTGCTGTTGTTGGTATGTTACCATCGCGCGAGATGATATGAAGATCCCATTCTTCCTTCCATTTCCGGCGACAGTTCACGTCGTTCAACTCTTGGGTAAAATCTATGAAGCCGTTACTCGTGCCATAGCTCGAAGCGGGTAAATTAGCCCCCGACTGTCAATAACATAGTTGCTTGAGCGGCTTGCAGCGACTGCTGCATACGCTGATACAGTCTGACACTGCATCTTGGCTGCTCACTCTTGGAGATTGCCAGCCTCAAGCAGTGAGTGCTATTGAAAATCGTGTGTAACGATCATGATGGGTTGCCTCTCATCTTATCATCCTAATAAGAGCGCTCTATAAACGGAATCAATCTTTGATATAAGGCTCTCGTTAGGAACGCGGCTGAATAGCATAAATGTAGGTAGTGCAGTGGCCGTCAACCTTCCTAGAACGATCCAACCTTCCGTTTCATGCGAAAGTCACGACGATCTTACCCCTTTTCGAATCCGCAACAGTAACATCACTTCAAGCTTCGCTATAGTGGGGCGTACCATATCATCAAGGTTACCGGATAACTGGAAGTAAAGGTGTGAGAGGCACGGGTACCTGAAGGCGCCAGTAGTGCCGCGCTAACCGTCCCCGCTCTTGGCGCGCACCCAGGCGGCATCAGAGTGGGCGATGCACTGAGACAACAAAGGGTGATGTTATGTTCATTCTACCTTGATCTGTCTTGGCTATGTACCAAGACACCGTTCCGGGTCGGTCGGCTCCCAGTATGACAGATGACGTCGCGTTTGTTGCATCGCTGCTACCTACCTAGGTATACTTGAGCATTACCACGTATTGTGCTCTCCCTGTTCGCCTTCTTACTTCGCTCATTCCATTTTGCCGTCTTCATTACAGAGACTGAATCTCTAACCAACATCATGACTTCAGCATTCACTGTAGAGACTGTACCTCTCCCCAACACCATGACTTCAACACTCCGTTCGGTCGCAGCGACACTCGTTCCGATTCCATCGAGCATAGCCCTACCTACACCCACGTCTTGTTCTCCAGGCATCGCTCCTAACGGTCTCAATATTACGGGACTCACAGGTCAGATCTGCCAGGTCAACGTTCCTCCAAACGATGTCAACATCACATCCTGTTGCAACAATGATGCCGAGGTCCGTGTCATGAATGACTGCACTCAGTGGTGCGAGGTGGACGACGGAAACGAGTTCTTCGACTGTGTCAATGACATGGCCCCCACGTCCTATCCGTTCCTCGGTGGGCCGTGTCTAGTCTTGTCTGCGGCGAGTTCGATTTATACGATATCATCATCCAGCACCGGAATCGCATCGACACCGTCTAATTCCCAAGAGACTCAGACGCCCGAGTCCACTGAGGCGTCGCCTTCCACCACTGAGTCGGAAGAGGATGGCGCTGAAGCAACGGAAACTCCCGATGTCGAAGGTATGTATCCGTCTCATCTTATTTCATACTGCTATGACAGCTTGCTAATTGAACAAGACGCGGCCGCAAACAACTTGCGTGAACCCGCGCTTGGCGCGACAGTCTTAGCTGTAGCTGCAACGCTCGGCATTATGGCATGGCTTTAGTCAAGAACCTGTTACGAATACAGAAGGAGACATTTACCGATCTACACGCATATAAACGTGGTACAAGAATGATATTGTATTGCAAATCAGTAGATTGTTCCCATTCCTCCAACATGTACACCTTTCCGAACTCGTTTCCTGTCATATGGTGTGGCAAAGTGAGGTGCTGTAGGGCAATCATCGACTTCAGTGTGCGCAAGGCCGCACATGAGGCCCACGCTTTGCTAGTAGCAAACACATGCCATAGCATACTTAAAGCCCCCGGAAGAAAGTAATGGAATGATCCGTATCTCATTAATCATGCACGAATTCAAAGGTCATGTTGATAAAGTTCACAAAGAAGTGATTCAGTACCTACAGAATCAAGGCTTCTTCAATGTCATTTCGAGTACAAGTAGTCTCAGCAACGAGATCGCGCCGATCTTTGCTCGCGACCGGTTCATTGGCGTCTCAGAGAACATGTACGAAAGCATGAGGCTTGGTCTGCAACTTGCGAGTCGATTTGTGGGAGACGAACGAGTTCTCGACTACTTCTGGCATCAGATGAGAAGCAGGACATTGCCTTCGCAGACCTTCGTAAGAGATGAGCCGCCACCACTAATCTACACCTCGACCTCTCAGAACGAACACCCCTCCGTCTTGATGGCCGACTGGAGGGAGAAGCTTAGCAACTTAGCTAGCGTCTTGACCTGGAAGGTGCAAGAATCCGACCGTACTCCGACAGACATGGATTTGGGATTAACTTTCGCTTTTGATGAACTCCGAACAACCTTCTCAGACCGCGCGACCAATGACAAGACTTATAACGAGGTTCTAAGGCTTTGCAATTGGCGCGAAGCGGATAGGAGCGCCAAGGTACGTAACGGTATGCTGGCTTATTGCGCCGATATGATGGGCGAGGGCTTGCGGTTTCGACCAGAGAGGGGAGCACCGACGAGTCCCTGCGTGCTCCTGCACTCATTCTTTCGCAAAGTGCTCGATCCAGACTCCGAGACAACTGTGACAGATACTTCTGGTCCTCCCCCTCCATCTAGCGTACAGAATCTTGGACCCCAATTCCTTCTCGCTCACGTCTTGCTCCACGAGTTGGCCCACTGTCTCGACAAATTTCCGACCTTCAAGTGCAATGATCCCCAAGGTCTATCGATGGAAGCTTATGCTAACGAGGAAGAAGCCAGGATTTTCGCATTTCCCGAATGCGGTCTCTCCTGGGAACGGGCAATCTTCCAAGGCCGTTGCATCCGATTCCATCAATTCGTCGCTAACCAAAGCAAGATAGCAATGAAATACACAGATATTGCTGCCCTTGCCGTCGCGAGTTTCAGCCACAAAGAAGATCGTGGTACTGCTACATCATCTACTTTCACCGTTGGTGACAAAACTTACAAGGCCACGACTGACTTCACGAGCTATGAGAAGGCATTGATCCCGTGGCAATGGATTTCAAACTGGTTTCAGGAGTCGCATTGGCATCCCAATCGGACTCGTGAAGAAGTATTGGCCCTGCCTTCTCTGGGATGGAAAATGTCCTATGAACTCCCCGCACCAGACGACCCGTCCACGATCGCTGATGAGATCGTGAGAGTCCGCGTGAAGGTACCTTACGAAAATGAGCAGGAATAGATGTGGATGCAAAGCTGCAGAGAAACATAGAGTATGCAGCGTGAAAAATTACACTTGCCAAAAATGCACACAGACCCTTAAGCAGCTTGCTTTGTTGTCTCAACTGTCTCCTTCCCATAAACATCATGCTTCGCATCCTCCACAATCCTGCACTCATACAGCTTGAACTTTCGTGCCGCTACTCTAGCTTCGAAAATCTCATCCAGCTCCTCTAGTGATCGCGCCTTCGTTTCCGGAAGGAAGAAGTAGAACCAGGCGACACAAATGAAGTTCGAAGCTGCCCATATATACGTGTATTGTGGGCCCTGCGCCTTTGTCAGCGGTATTCTTGATGAGTCTGGACTCGATGCATACCCAGTCAAGATCTTGAGGATTGATGAAGTATGGCGAGCAAAAGCCGATTAGCCAAGCCAGGAAGTATCCAAGAGCATTCGCGCTGCCAACAGTCCAAGCTCGAAGTCTTGAACTAACAAGCTCTGTCGCCAGGGGACTTGTCGCAACGCCCACCCCGGCGTTGTAACAGAATAGGAATAGTGCCGTGAACGCTACCAATACATTTCCTGTCTCGACCGAGTCGGGCTTTACGCTACTGGCGATTCCGCAAGCAAGCTCACATAGACCGCATGCTATTGCCCCAGCGATCATGATCGTCCTTCTGCCAAACAACTTGTTCATGAAGTAAAGACCAAGGTGAACGCCCACAAAGCCAATGCACGAGTTCATAATGCTGTATTCAAAGGCTTTCGTAATACCAGCGATGGCGAGGAAGTAGGTTTGATAACCAATGAAGAACCAGACGCCACTCGCTGACTGGCTTGCGATCGTGCCCCAACAGAGTAGCGTGCGTCTCAGGTCGTTACCGCGGAAGAGGTCCAGGAAGCCTGAACTCTGACTCAATCTGCGCTCTTCTTCTACGCCACGAATCATCTCCGCCCATTCCAACTCCAGCTCTTCGCCGTGGTCGAAACGAAGACGCTCCAAAGACTTGCGCGCTGCGTCATGTTGGTCACGATGTAGAAGCCATCGCGGACTCTCGGGGACGAAGAAAAGCGCTGTGCCGAGTAGAACCGGGACGATGAACATGCAGGCGAGGGGGACTTGGTAGGAGAGCTTCGAGAGGTAGCGTGAAGTGTAGTTGTCAATGATGGAACCGATAATGCTTCCGAGGTTCACGTAAAAAGAGAAGAGTCCAACCATGATTCTGCCAATGGTCAGTATATCTATCGTCCGCGAAGAGACCCGGAAACGTACTCCCGGAGATGCGCCGGTGCTGCTTCACTGCAGTACACGGTCGAGAATACGACGAAGAAGCCGTTGGAGAAGCCTAGCAACAGGCGACCTACGTACAAACCGGCCTTGGAGGTAGAGCCAATCTGCACCGACACTGCAGCCAAACATATGATGCATGCGAGCCACAAGGCCTTCCTGCGACCAAAGTAGCCACCAAAGACACCAGCAGCGATGGCAGATACGCACGAACCCAGATTTAGCAGAGAGGTCATGAGCTGTTGCACCGTCGACTATCTTGCGCGTCAGTAACTTTCGCGATGTCATAGGCTATGCGGACTTGCATCAATGCCATAGCCAAGCGGGCTTGTCGGGTCCTCATACCCAAAGACCATCAGAAATCCAGGCATTGCCTGCAAACCGCCTACTGCAGCAGTATCAATGCCGTACTGCATGCTAGCAATAGCGACGGCGGAGCATATTAGTAAGCATTTGCGGTTCGCCCACAAGGACGTCTCCTGAAGTTTTGCCATTATTGCTCACGCAGGGACTGACCGGTATCCATCTGCGAGAAGAAGGGATCGCAGCCTTATACAGCGAGATATGCGAGTCAGGCGAGGTTAGCATCGTGGGGCAGTGAGGAGAAACCCATGTCTTCTCCGCACTGGCAGGGGTGTCATGCAAAGCTGTATGGAAATGCCCGACACCTTGCCATTTCGAGAGTTGATCGACCTAGCGAGTCGGCGCATACATACAATCCATGAATGATATCGTATCTCAGCCAATCCCTACTCGTAGAACGTGCTGAACGTGTACTTGGTTTCGCGATCATACTTCGCCAGATCTTGCCTTGCTTGCTGCGCCTCTCGGATAACGGTCTGCTTGATCTCTTCGTGTCTGGGTGTGAACTTGACTTTAAATGGCTGGGGCCGCCAATTCGATCCGCTTCTGCTAAACGTCAATACCAATGAAGCTTAATAGCCTCGGATTCTGGCAACAAAACTTACGTGAACTTGAAGATATCAACAGGCACTTCTTCCCCCGTCTTTGGGTCCACCTCTGGCTCCACCTTGTACGCCCACACTAATCGTGCAATACTGAGATGCGTACCCTGCTCCGCCAATGCTTGACCAGCACAGCTTCTTCTGCCCCATCCGAAAGTCATATAGCCCTTCTCCCCAGGAAACGGTCTCTTATCGTCCGTGTCGAGGAATCTCCTTGGATTGAAGCGATCAGGGTCGGGGAATTCGCGCTCGTTATGGTGTATCGCCCAAACGTTGCCTTGCACCCAGGTACCCTTCGCGATATAGTAGCCGTTGTAATAGTCATCTTGGGTAGGTGCATGAGCAGTACCTCCTATAACCGCCACCGAACGCCAACGAAAGACTTCTTTGACAAATGCGCGGAGATATGGAAGATCATCATCGAGCGTCGGACTTCGTGTTCGACCTACTACACGGTCGAGCTCTTCCCAGGCGGGTTCAAGGGTCTCGGGGAAGGCGCGCATTGCCAGCACCGCTGTTTGTAGAGTGCTACTTGATGTGTCCGCTCCAGCACCCAATAGGTTCGCGGCGAGATTGGAGATTTCGAGAGGATGAAGATTGAGGTGAGGTGCTTCGCGAAACAGGTACTTGGAGTAGTTCTCTTCTGGACATTGCTTGGCTTCTTCAGCCAAAGCATAGAAGAAATCATTGCGGCCATATTTGGGCTTTGCTGAACGGCGAGTATCACGCTTCCAAGGAGCCATCCAATTGGGAAACTTGGCCAGCCCTGTCATTGTTAGTATGGATTTGAGCGAGTGGCTTCGAAAATTACATGGGAAGGTCTCCATCAGTCGCGGGAAATCCTTGGCGACGACGGCCATCTTAGCAGAGGTCTGCATCTGAGCGATCACTTCAGTGATCAACGGATCTTGTATGTCCCCAATCCGACGTCCAAAGCCGATGATGGACACAACGCTCGTAGCGTATCGCTCGAAATGAGCTACGAATTTGTCGGGGGTCTCGAGTAGGTCGCGCACTACTATCTTGTTTTCGTCGTCTTGAAGGCTTCGATGGCGTTTTATCTGGTAACGTCAATATGAGCAACATGAAACCCTGTGGTACGCTGACCTGCTGTATCCCAACACCCTGGTGGGTAACTCTCCTGAGGTCGCGAAACCTTTCACGCTGTTCTTTCGTGTACGTGTATTTGTGCAGCAGGTTCATTTGGCCGGACATAAGCTCAGCGAACATCAGCATGCGGGGTCTAGAGTTGTAGATGTTTGCCCGCTTGACGAGAAGCTCATCAGCAGTCCATGCGTCATTGACCCAGACTGTCGGTCTCCTGTGCTATGTTATTCACCGTCGTTTACGTTGGGTTTGCTGTGCAACTAACCGCCCGATCCAGAACGTGATGAGTGGTGAGTTGTAGTGTTTCGATAGTTGTTCCATGAGATACCAAGGCTTCTCTTCCGGTAGACTAAAGGTGTTCCCAACAATAGGCCAAGGCAATGGTCCTGGCGGCTGTTGTGTATTAGTGACAAACCCAACATGAGGCTGGCACAGAAACAAGCAGTTACCATTCGCCATCTTAGGTACATCATGCGACTATAGTCTACTACAAGAGCGATGATGCCCAGAAGCAGAAGATAGGTAGCCCACATGCTCGCAATTACGTGAAATCGATTGGCACAATAGTAGACCGGAAAGCTGGTGTGCGTTGAGAAACTGGTGCCAGAGCTGGCCCCGGGACAGGAGCCCTTAGATGAGATGCTTATACTTGGTCCTTCCACGTGATTAGATCCGTTGCTTGATAGATCATCAAAGGCAACGGCTGGGGATCATCCCCACATTACCGTGGTGGGGCAGCCCGCTTTGGCTGTTCGCGGGAAGGCCGGAAATAAAGACATGCGTAATCCGCAGTGTGTGTATCGTGCCGACATATCCAATTCGCTGCGAAAGCTACGAGACGCGTAGATAGGTATTGACGGGCTGGGGGAGAAGCGGGGTATGTGTAACGTAGTCCCTGTCATGTCTCCTGTCCTGGATCCTGTTGAACTACAGATACATGGAACAGATACCACTGACCAGCCCGAGAAGATCCTTGATATAGAGGAAGAAGAGTATGCGCCTTTTACTCAAACTGATGAATAGCGTTGTTTCGCTCGACTTTCGGTGTGGTAGAAATGGTCCATGAAGCCTGAACGGCTGGTCCGCCCAACGAAGCTCCAATGCGCGGTATATATCGGGGCCTAACGATTCGCTGTGTCGGAATGCAGGCATATGCGGTGTTGACGCAGCGTTCTCATCCAGCTGGTGTTGAGCACCTGGGCAGTTTCGCCAGATCTTGATGACGTAACGCGCAATGACGGATGCATCTCCGTGTCGGGTTAGTGCCGAATCGCGCTCGTCGCAGACACGCGGCCAGCAGCGCGCGCATACGTGACCAGTACAACTTGTTGTATGTTAAACACGAGCATGTGAAGCAAGCGTTCGACGACTCTTGGTAGATGACGACAGAAGCTACCGCTACTATGGGTTCCATCCAAGGCTCTGACAGCGCCCACTATGTGCCCAATGGCACCAATGGCGTAAAGCGTGAGTCTCCACCTGGGCACCTGCACGATGCAATGCAAGGCACAGTCCAACCCCGACGCTAACAGCACCAGGCCGGCGAAGGTCAACTGTTCTCAATGCGAGATCGCATGTCAAACAGGAACTGTGGAAGCAGGCACCAATACTCATTGGCAGCACCAGCTTCGAGCCTCTTCCTGATGCAAAGAACATCTTGATAACTGGTGGAGCTGGCTTCATGTACGTTGCGATGAGAGCACGGGAAGTTGTGAGCTGTGCGTCTCTTGATCTTTCCTTATGATGCATTACAACTGACTCAACGAATAGAGCTTGCTGGTTCGTACGGCATCTAGTACTTACATACCCACACTACAATGTCGTATCATTCGACAAGCTAGACTACTGCGCTGCGCTCAACAACACGCGAATCCTCGATGATCGATCTAATTTCACCTTCGAACATGGTGACATCACGTCACCGGCGGACGTAAAGCGCGTTTTACGAAAACACAAGATTGACACACTCTTCCATTTCGCAGCGCAATCGCATGTCGACCTCAGCTTTGGCAATTCATACGAGTTCACCAACACCAATGTATATGGCACACATGTTCTGCTTGAAAGAGCGAGGGAACATGGTGTCAACAGGTTCATACATATCTCGACAGATGAGGTCTATGGCGATGTACCTGTCGGGGCGGCAGACCTGGGCGAAACCAGCATACTGGCACCAACAAATCCATACTCGGCGAGTAAAGCAGCGGCAGAGATGATGGTCAGCGCATACAGGAGTAGTTTCAAGTTGCCGCTGATCACCGTTCGTGCGAACAACGTATATGGACCACATCAGTTTCCTGAGAGTAGGCAATCCCAATACCTCGAGTGGATGTACATTACTGATTTGTACAGAAATCATCCCAAAGTTCATCATGCTGCTACAGCGAAAACAGAAGCTCCTACTCCACGGCGACGGCTCACCCACGCGACGATATCTGTACGCAGGGGACATTGTAGATGCGTTAGACACCATACTTCACAAAGGCGACATCGGTCAGATCTACAACATCGCGTCCAAGGACGAGATATCGAACTCGGACATATGTCGCAGGCTGCTAGATGTTTTCAAAATATCCCATGATTCTCCTGCCGAGCTATCGAAATGGGTGGAGCACACGGAAGACCGACCATTCAACGACCAGCGCTATGCGACGGACGGGACCAAGCTGAGCGCGCTGGGTTGGGAACCCAAGACGAGCTTTGATGAAGGTCTGAAGGTGACAGTGGATTGGTATCGGAGGTTCGGCGAAGTATGGTGGGGAGACATTAGCCGCGTCCTGACATCGTTCCCCGTGGTGACGGGTAACGAGATCTGGACGAAAGAGGAGCACGAGGATCTACCCTCTTCAGACGGAGAGGTCACACATGATGAGGACAGCGCGATTTGGACGACGTAGCATCGTGTATGCTTGCTATTCACGCTATAGATTGCAGGACGAAAGATACCCAGACAATGTCGAAGGGCTCATTATTTGCGTACGGGTGGACCTTCAAAGGGCCAATTTAGGCGCGGTGCCTGAGTGCGGCTGCAGGGACCAAAATGATGTGGGCCCAACCATGCAACAGCCCTATCAATCTTTGCATTCAAGTTTGAAATTCGCTGCTCAGGACACACTCGAAACAATATGCAGATTTCTTCGTCCTTTCACTCGAACCCACGGTTGGAACGTGTCTTGTAGCTATTTCGAGCGGTTCCTTGCAAGCGGCCCTCAGCCACAAGCGGTGGCGTACTCACCCCAGGGCTCCGCCTTCGCTAGCGGCATTGGGCGCTTCGAATGATTGAAACACCAGATGCAGCAAAACATTCATTGCTCAAACGCGACTTCCTCTACCTGTGACATTCATATAATACTGCATCGCCTCTTCATCTCGTGCCTTCCTTCATTCACTTTTCGAGTTCCCGCCGCGAGACCCTGAACCTTGGCTCGCCCAATCGATAACCTTGGAACGCACCCCACAATTCCCTTGGTGCTCCCCGACCCGTCAGCCCTCACCGCACCCACCCCTGACGTCGACGCCTACAAGACGCGACTCATCTCCTCGCCTTCTTCACCACACACAAAACTCTACACCTGAATCATGGGTCTATTCTCCAAGAAGAAGGACAAGGGCGGAAAGGAGAGCCCAGCCGCCCAGAACCCGTATGCCGCGCCTGTAGGCAAGGACCCATACGCGCAACCACCCCCCTCGTACTCGAACGAGGGCCAGGACAACTCGTTCCGCCAAGAGAAGACGCCAGCGGTGACCGGCCCGGGCCAGAGCTATGGACAGCGACCAGGCGGATACGGTGCGCAAGGAGGCAGCTACGGCGCACAGTCAGGCTATGGAGCCGATCGCTATGGCGGAGGCGCACCACAGCGGCCCGGCGGCTACGGAGGCCTGGGAAGGACTGCGTCCAACGACACCATGAGCACCGAGGCAGGCCGTAATGAGTTGTTCGGCAACGCTCCCCAACGCCAGCAAGCGCAACCGCCTCAGCAGCCCAGCGCCCTGGGTCAAAGCGGTGCCTATGGCAGCACCCCTGGTGGCGGATATGGCGCTGGTGCTCCCGGTGGCTATGGCTCTACGCCTGGTGGCTACGGAGCATACGAGGACCGCCAATTAACGGCTGAAGAACAAGAAGAGGAAGACATCGATGCCACAAAGCAGGAGATCAAGTTCATGAAGCAGCAGGATGTTGCGAGCACCAGAAACGCTCTCCGTCTAGCTGAGCAGGCTTTGGAAACCGGTCGAGGAACTCTAGGGACACTAGCAGCACAGGGAGAGCGTATCCATAAGTACGTTCAACAGATCTGGACACGTTTATACACAGCTAACTCGTTTCTAGCACGGAACGCAATCTCGACCTTGCCTCCATCCAGAGCGACAGAGCAAATGGACAGACTAAGGAACTGGCTCGTAAGGACGCCCCCCTCGACACGTATCATTCATGACTAACCCGTCTCCAGGCATCAACGCAAGCATGTTCTCCATCGTCCCCAACCCCTTCACAGGCAACTCGAAGCGCGAGAAGCAGATGCAACAAGCCATGGACCAGCACGCACGCGACCGTGACACCCGAGAGCAAACCAACAGGGCCAAGTGGGAGTCCGGAGCCCGCGCAAACGAAGCTCAGCGTAAGCTGGCCACAGGCGGTGGTCCACAAGGCAACAACAAGAGCTCGCTGGCTGCGCGCTCCAAGTTCCAGTTCGAGGCCGATGAGGAGGACGATGAGATGGAGAACGAGATCGATAACAACTTGGGTACGTATTCCCCGTCCATTCCATTAATGTGTTGATTCTAACAAGTTTGTTTCAACAGACCAACTTCATGGCATGGCCAAGAACCTCAACCAACTCGGTCGCGCGATGGGCGAAGAGGTCGATAACCAGAACACGCATATTACACGCATCACTGGCAAGACAGATTCGGTCGATGACAAGATTGCCAGGAACAGGCTCAAGTTGGATCGCATCCACTAGGTCTGCACTCCAGCAAGGTGAGCGGGATGCTAGTCTCGAGTGCAACCAAGCCCATACTAGGATCACGGTAGCTTGATGGCATCAATCGAGATATAGAGCTTGGGATACGGCATCACAGGCGTTTTGGACACAATGACAGTTTTCACCTTGATCCCAAACACGGGTTGATCGTACTTCGTACTCGATACGACACGTAATATTGCTTATGCCTGATGCCCAACTATGTATACTCAACGCCCGGACAGTACCCCAACAAAGATGACTTTCAATGATCTAAGGACCGTCCATGTGATACCACATCCTTTCATTACTCATTACCCATCAACCATCTCCCCTTCACCATACCTATGCCAACAACAGCTTGTAACTCGCCACTTCAAATGCGCGAATCTCGATTGGCACACCCTTCTCCTTCACTTCTTCGGCTCCTACCCTCATGTCACTTATATCCAGCGGCTCACCCTCTTCGTCCTCCAACGCATTGACCTTGATCACCTTCTTCACATCGACATCACCCCAGGTAAGCACGCCCTTGCTCTTTCCACCCAGACTGTCGTAGATGCGTAGGATAATCGAATGGCCCTTCTTGATGGGCAGTTCGCCACGGCTGACATCCTCGTCGTCTTCACCGCGCTTGATGGTGTCGAGCACGAGGTTGGGTGCGCCGTAGATGTGGAAGGGGTTCAGAAGACCACTGTGCATGGAGGATGGCGGGGCGTGCAGGCCCTGGCGCCCAACAATCTTGAGTGGGTTGTTGAACTCAAAAGCCTTGCGCACTGTGCGTTCGTCCAGACCGCCCTTGTGGGGGAAGATGGCGTAGCGAGTCTTGTGGCTTCCCATGTCGGCGTGGGCGTCGGGGGCTTTGGGAGAGCGGAGAAGGGAGAGACGCATGACGTTTCCGGCGACTGCGAAACCGTACTTGCTGTCGTTCAGGATCGAGACACCGTAGGTAGCCTCGGAGAGATCGGCCCACTTGTGACAGCAGACTTCGAATTTGGCCATGTCCCATGTGGTGTTGTAGTGGGTAGGACGGCGCACAATGCCGAACTGCGTCTCGTAACTGGCTTCTGTGTTCACAATGTCGACTGGGAATTCGACCTTGAGGAACCTCATTGTCTCGTGCCATTCGATCTCTGCGTCAAACTCGATAGCACTGGGTGTGTTTCCTACGGCTGCAGGTAGACTCATGGTCGTCTTGACCCACGACTTGTCTGAGACCTTCGTCTCAATCACCAGGCTCACACGGTGAACGCTGTTCTCCGCAATGGTCACCTTGCTGGGCTCGAGTTCCTGGCGGGACTGGAGGTGGTAGACTTCAACGTCCCAAGCTTGCCAGTAAAGTGGCTTGTCGTCGTAAATTACAAGCTGACCGGCTTTGGCACCCTTCGGGATCAGTTCGCGATCAGCGGCAATGTCGAAGAGTGAGGTGATGGCACCGTTGTTGACCTGTACAACGAATTGCGAGTTGCGGAGTTCGTAAACATTGGGATGGATCTCCTCAATAGTCGCCTTCTGGGCAGGGTACGCAGAGTGGAGTGGGAACACGTCGAGAGCGCCCAAACCCTTCTGAGATCCGTTACGATGAGCAAGACCGTACTCTGCCCCTGGGGGACTATACTTCGTTCGACTTGCCTCACTCGGCAACTTGATGATTTCGGTACGGCTCCATGGTAAGGTGTTTATCGCGAATAGCTTGGTGTCTTGATCCCAGCTAGTCTCATCGTTAAAGCCAAGTTCAGCAAGGGCGTCGGAAAGCAGCCTCTCTCCAGTAGCAAACACTTCGGCGTAAATCTAAGAAAGTCAGTCATGAAGTCAAGTTTGGAGATTAGCAACATACCCGATCGGAGTCGTCGTAGCACATCTCGATAGAACTTCCAGGTAGACAGTCGTGGAATTGACACAAGAGCACGTTCTCCCACATGTCATCAATGTCCTTCTTCGGGTACTTGTACGAGCTCTTCTTGCCGAAGCCGTTCTTGATGGTCGCCAAAGTCGCCAGGTACTCAATGTCCCTCAGCATTATTTCCGACTTCCTGTTATTGCGCTTGTTGTTCGATTGCGTAGTGTATGTACCACGGTGGAGCTCGAAGTACAGCTCGCCATACCATGTCACGAGCTCAGTACCATTCTCGACCTTTTTCTCCAGGCGGTCGAAGAAGTCGTCTGCTGAGTCGCCTAGCTTGACGCGAGGCAACAAGCCAGCAGTGTCGCTGATACCACGGCATCGCCTGAGTTTCTCAAGGTGCTGCCATGTCGGACCACCGCCTCCATCTCCTTTGCCGAAGACAATCAGCGATGACTTGTCTTGGTCGAGCGACTTGTGCTGTGTGACGCTGCGCTTGACGTCACCGAAGTTCGCTTCGCACGTGTACGTCTCAGATGGCGGCATGTGGCAGATGACCTGGCTGTTGTCCAACGCGACCCAGTTGAATGTCGTATGTGGGAAGTTGTTGATGTTGTTCCAGCTCAACTTCTGAGTCAGGAATCTGGTCATACCCGAAATGCGACAGATCTGTGGTAATTGCGTCGAGTATCCGAAAGTGTCGGGCAGCCAGAAAGTGCGACACCGCTGGCCAAACTTGCTCTCGAAGTAGCGCTGACCGTACAGGAATTGCCTGATGAGTGACTCTCCGCCGGGAAGGTTGGTGTCATGCTCGACCCAACTACCACCGATGGGCTGGAAGCTGCCTTCCTTGACCTTCTTCTTGACGCGATCGAATGTGGAAGGGTAGTACTGCTCAAGCCACTTGTATTGCTGCGCTTGCGAGCAGCAGAAGCGAAGCTCGGGGTATCGCTCGATGAGGTCGCACTGGTTCGACCAGGATCGGTTGACCTTGCGCTTGGTCTCGTCGAATGGCCAGAGCCAACACGTGTCGATGTGGCAGTAGCCGATACCGTGTACGATAGCCTCCTGGTCGGTCTCGTATACTTTGTGCGAGTCTACGTCCTTGCCGACGTACTCAGCCGCAATCTTGCGGCATGCTTTGATGCTCTCTTGGCTTCCATTGCCCGCAATGAAAGTGTCGATGATGCGGTTGCCGACCTGCTGGGCATCATGGGCTTGCGTCGAGTCCCCAGGGAACTCGCGAGCGGCATCTCCAATCTCCCAGAAGTCAAAGTATAGCCCTCTCGCCTCCAGGTTGACCGCCTGAACCTCAGCAGTGTGCAGCGTATAGTACCTGTCTGGGTCTGGTGGCTGAATCGAGTCGCCGCCGGGAGCATTGCCGAACATGCCGTTGCAGGCCATCTCGATGTAGAAGGTATGTTCTTTGCCGTCTCTAAACTCCTTGGGCAGGATCCATTGTGTGCGTTCACCTCCACCTGTCAGTCCATGGACAGTGTGTCCATCTTCGGTCCAGATCAGGCCCTCATTGTTTGCATCCCAGACGAAGTCGAGATGTTCCTTGTCGAGCATGTGCTTGGGCACCGTGAGCTGGACCTTGAACCAGTGGGTCGACCAACTGGGGCCAAATGACTCGCCGACTTTGGTGGGGTGGAAGGCATGGGAGGTGGCTTCCTTAAAGAGCGGGCGCGAGAGGTTCGGGGGTGAGTAGACGGAGAGCTTCACCCAGTCGGTTCCGGACGCGACAGCTTCGGTGAGCTTGCTGTATGACGTATGAGCATCTTGGAGCTGGAACAGACGATTAGGAAGACGTGAAGGTTAATGCTCACCCAATAAGACTCTGTTCCCTGTACTGTCCTGCATCGAGGAACTGCCTCAATCGGCTCTGGTAGATGCTGTGGATCTGCTTGCCAACGGGACCAGCCGCCAGCTGTGGGTAGTCTTTGGCCACGGGGACGGGCATGTTGCGGTGCGATTCTCCTCCCATGGTGGATGAGGCTGGAGATGGGGATTGGGACTCGGTCGAGGCGGTGTGGAAATGTCGACAACGTCAACAGCACGCTACAGCAGCTGTGGTACCTTGCATGGCTCCGGCTGTGTTGGGGAGGAGCTCTCCCCGCATCTTGGCGAGGGAGGCCCATGCTCCCTGCCCCATGATCCATTACCCACTCATCTCCACTTGGTCCCATCTTGCAGTCAAACTTCCTTTTCCACCCTTTGCGGATAATCGGCATTTACAGGCGGTGAATCTGCCAATACTGGTCTTTCCAGAGTGAAGTTATAGCGTATTTGGGTGACATTGGGGTGATCACGCAGGCGCGACATGTGGTTTCATTGCGCTGTACTCCGTCTGCGTCTGACTTGTCTCTTTTATGCCAGGTCCATGTCGTGTTCATCCGGTATGTGTGCTGGCTAATAGCCGATCTTTCTTCTCTGTATGCATCTTCAATATGCCCCGAGGCACTGTCCGCGTCCTCTTGGCACGTTTATCATCCATGATCTCATCTCCAATGTCTTCAACACTTCGTTTCCTCTTCTTCTCGTTGTTGTGCAGAAATTCGGTCATTCTTCGGTGCCCATTTGTACCAATTGTCCCTTTTCCCATTGTGTCCTCATCTTCGGGTGGGTATTTCACCTCTGTAGCTCCCAGATGTCGATTGATGGCATTAGCCAGCATTTTCCCACCCAACAAGACAGACATGCGATCATCCCATCGTCGCTTCTTGTCTACAATATCTCGTATGCGGGAGATTGCTTCATTCTCACGACGCCGGGCCATCTTATCGGCCTCTACCTGCGGTAGTCTGCTGGCCACCAGATTGGCCGCTGGACCTCGATAGCCTGAACCACCCTGCTCGACTTCAAGCGATTCGCAAGGCTCATCTGTCAAGCTGTCGCGGCTGGCTGAGGACGACGTTGGCCCTTGTGAGAGTGGTGTGGAGAAGTCGCGATGCATCGAGGGGCTTGTCGCCTCACCATTGCGCTCGTCTGGCCATGCATTAGGCACTTTGTATTCGGCTCGCAGCGGGCTGTGGCCATATATGGGATAGTATGGGTCGCGCCATGGTGCCTCTGGGCGCGGATATGAGGTGAGGAGGGACGATGTCAAGTCCGAGACGTCCAGAGGCGGCGTGTTACTGGCCAGAGGTGTGAAGATTAATGAAGATAGCAAGTCGCGCATGTCGCTGATATGATGTGCAAATAGGCTTGTCGATGAGGAGGTGAGTGTCTTCCACAGCAAGGGTCTTCACATCGTAAAGGTAATTGAGCTTCTGCTATTGTCTCTATCAAAGCGGAGCGCGCGACAAGCTAGTCTAATTTGAGAGTCAGTATTCACTGTGCGACTTGACAATAGTAGCGTCAGTGCAAAGTGAGAGAAAGTGAAGGTGCACACGAAATTGTCATGGTGAACGTGAAAGGGGACCAGGGCCGGTTCTTCAGATAGTAGGAGATGAAAATACGCAGTAGAGAGAACAGAACGATGTTGAGGATCCTGTAATAGTTAAAGAGGGTATAGGATAATATTCACACAAAGGCAGGAACGATGAAGTGAAACGTCGATGTTTGTTGCATTGTGACATTTATTGCAGAATTCAAGACATCATCTAGCTAGGGAAATGTAAAAACTAAGAAGATACAGCTATGCTCTTGAATGAGCTCTACAAAGCCTTCTGAATATCAAACACCCACGACGCATCTAACACTGACTCTTACTATCGGCAACCCTCTGCCCACCCACCGCACCATTAAAGCCCTTCAACAAAGTATACCTCCCCTTGACACTAACCTTATACGTCGTGCTCTTGGTCTGATCAGTGCTAGTAGCCCCGTTACAAGTAACACTACTCTTAACCCCCGTCAAACTGGACTGACTCCCCGAGCTCGAACTACCTCCCTGATTCGGCGAATCAACACCCGCCGCACACGCCGCGTAGGCCGAGCTCTTCAGCCATTGCGTTTCCTTGCCGTCTGACGAAGTTCCAATAGGAATGTAGAGGCTGTTAACCTGCTCTGCTTGCGCCGATGCAGCAGGTCCAGAGTCGGCGGCGCATGATGAGGCTGCTTCAGCGCCTTTGGCGTTCTTGATGGACTGCGAGTTTAGGGCGTTGGCGGTGTTGGCGGAGGTGAAGATGAAGACTTCGCCTAGGGCATTGGTTGTAGCTACTGCTGTGCTGTTTGCGGCGCCGGATGAGGATGTGGAGTCGGAGTTTGTGCCGTCGAGGGCGGCAGCTGCGGCGGATGCGGCGTTGCCTGAGGAGAAGGATGTTGTGACTACGCGAGCCTGTCGGCCGTCTGCTAGTGCTGTTGCGTTTGAGACGCTGTTTCCGCCTTGCTGCGAGGTAGAGTCTGAGTCTGTGGTGATGTTCCTAGGCGCTGAGGGGTTGATGGAAGTAAACTGTGTGTTGTATGCCTTTCCGTCTGCGTAGTTGGCTATCCAGGAGACGAGAGTGCCTGAACTGGCGATGAGTGGGATTTTGACCGTGTAGCCGTTCACAAGGAGTGCCAGAGGGCTGGATGATGATGGGTTGGAAGATGTTGGTACCCGCACGCCGAAAGAGTAGTCGATTGGGAGGGATATTTCGGGCAGGAGGGCTCGGATGCGGAAAATGGTTGGAAGGGCTGTGGCTGATGCCACGAAGATAAATGGGGTGAGACGCATTGTAAAGTCTGGAGGTGAAGATAGTGGAATGAAATCAGTATATTCTTATTCCTGCGATATCATGCTCTCGGTTTTATATGGCATCGCAAACTCCCATTATGTCACACTGGTCGCGTTGCGTCATACACGAATTGTAGTAGTGTTCAGTATTTGGCAGACCTTTTCCGTAGACACCTGTTGAGGTAAGTCAGGCGCTCCTTCTCGGGTCTAGATACTCCTACCTCATGGCCGAAAGGACGCCGGCATGTTGTAGTGTGCCCTAGGACACGACCGGAAGCCTTCATCGAGTGTAGAAGATGTGGATTCTAGTAGGCATATGGAAGCCATCAGAAGCCGCATGGAAGAAAGGCGTCGCTGTGACTTCATTGGTATCTTAGCCTCTCCCTCACATCTAGATCAATCCGATGAACGGAACGACGGTCGATCCTCTTGCACCTTTGGATCCAGTCAAGGCGCGCCCAGAATGCCATGATGGAGGGGTACCTACAGCTCTTGCTAAGGTAGTGTGTACCGTACTTCTACTAAAACGTACATTAGCCAGCCCACATTCATTGCATCGAAAGATGTGAGCCAATCGGAAAAGTCGCAAAATCGAAAATGATTTGACCTGTTTTCGCACCAGTCACTGAGATATAAGACGTCGGCTGCTCGGAACGTAGTGACCTCTTCCAGCACGGCTACAAAGGCCGTGGTATAAGACGAACACTCTCCCATGCGCCCTCAATGGCTCTGGAAGATGACGGGAGCATTGTCTCATTGTGTAGGGTTTCGCTGACGTGTCCTCCATTTCCCGGTGAGATGCGACCGTCATTTTTACAAAAGGTACTGTCATTCTACACCACTAATGAAGAGATTCCAGATGGAGTCATTGTAGAACGAACGATGATGGCTTGCGATAATGCCCTGCGAAGTCTGCGGCAAGTACTTTGGTTTGTTCGTGTTACCTCGCTGCGAGAGGGGCCATTGGTATCGGTATCGCGACGAGACGTTTGGAAGTCGCACTGATACTGGCTTCAGAGCTGTTGCTACCAAACAGACACACGATGAAGGGAATATGCGAGTTGCTCGCACGGACGATTCCAAGACAGTGTGCAACATCTGCCGGGCGGTGGCTGCACTTATGCTATAGCACACGCCGGTGGCACGCTACGTACGGACCGGCCCATATCGGCTTGGGGCAGACATGGCTCAAGGAGCTTTTTGCATCCGACAGTTGACGCACGAGCAGCTTCCCGTCAAAGCAAGGAAATGAGAAGGGTGGCTGGGAAAAGCAGCAGCCTGCGCACAAATGTTGGGTCGCCCTTTCCTAGGTAGTCGAGAAGGCATGGACGTAGGTGATCTGGCAGACGCACGCTAGCTGGCTTCTCCTCGATCTCAGCGCACGATCAGGTCCGAGCGCTCACACCAGCCCGAATCGGTCTATCGAGAGGTCATTGATGTCATCCCGGCGCGCGTTTGAGAGGAACGAGACGTGCTCTACCAGCTTCCAAGGTGCTCTGGCCGCCATACGGAATCGTGAAGACTTCATGATGTAGGTGATTTAGGGTGGCTGGCTGTTTAAGATGAGAACGGTTGAAGCTTGCGCAGGTACCTGTACGTCAGTGGAGGGAATCTGGGGTAGTACAAAGATTGTTTGCTGGACGCTTGTTCTTCTGGAATGTATCGCACGCTTCTCCCCCGACCGTTTTTGCTTGTTGCTGCATATCGCGCACCTCGTGTGACTACGACTCCTCTCAGACTTGCTCTTCGTTCAGTCTCATCAAAAATGCCTTCCAAGACCGACGACAAATACACGGATCCGCAACTGCGTGATGAAGTCAAGGAGGAGATCCAAGCTGGTGACAAGGGAGGTGAGCCCGGCCAATGGTCAGCCAGAAAGGTAGGCTCCACTAGTGCGAGTGTACTTTGCACCACTGACATAGACAATTGCAGGCACAGATGATGGCATCCGAGTACAAGAAACGCGGTGGAGGATATACCACAGACAAGAAGGACGAGAAAGCGAAGCATCTGGATGAGTGGACGGAAGAAGAGTGGCAGACAAAGGACGGCAGCGGAAGCGCAAAAGACAAGAACGGCTTGGAACACCGCTACCTGCCGAAGAAGGCATGGGAGGAGATGAGCGAGAAGGAGAAGGAGGAGACAGATGCCAAGAAGCAGGAAGGAGGCAAAGAGGGCAAGCAATATGTGACCAACACCTCCAAGGCTGCACAAGCGAAGAAAGACGCGACCAAAGACGGCGAGAAGAGTGGCTTTACCAAGATCGAGAAGAAGAGCAAGACGGACTGCACGACACAATGGGACGACCCGGACCACATGGAGGAGGATCAACGGGCATACCAGAAGTTTTTGGAGAGCAGCCGGAAATCCAAGAGTCCCCCGCAGGACGATCATCCAGGTCAAAAGCGAGGACGTGGCGCAAACATAGAGGCTCCCAGTGCCAACAAGAGACAGAAGAGCACAGTCAACAAGCACGATAAGCCTATTGCAGCTGCCGGCGACATAACTCGTGTGCCGAAGAAGGGCCAGAAAGTTCAATGGCATTCGCTCCCTGGCTATGTTGACGGTGAGGTTGTGGAGGTTCTGTACGAAGAAAAGCAGGTCGATGGCAAGAAGGTCAAGGCAAGCAAAGAGGATCCCAGGGTGGTGTTGAAGAGCAACGCATCGGGGAAGATTTGCGTACACAAGCCCGAGGCAGTGTACTTCGATTAGAGCATGGTAGTGTTGCCAACTGGAGTTGGAAGCACGAGTTCACGGACGTTCGGAAGAGCACGTGACATACTCAATCGTCGACGGGCGTCATCTTCGTTATTCGACGTCGGTGAATAGGGAGGTGCCGTAGCATGTAGCAGCAGTGCTGTGTCAACAAAACCCATTCTATTACTCCAGACTCGATGCACGTCGTGGTCCAGGTGGCGTGTGTCAGTAGCGCAGAGCTAGTGTTGTGAGGGTGTGATGCGGCACTCAAACCCAGGTAGTTGCCTGGATGCATCCAACGTCGAGGTCTGGACGTGGTTCACCAGGCGAAGGTCGAATAGGAAGTGTACGGAGCGGGAATAGCAAGCTGTTCGCTCCGCTGTGTGTACGTCTATATGACCGCCGACAGGACGGGCTTAGTTGCAGGCGTAGCGGGCCTGGGCCGCATCCAGGCAAGACGGGGAAGGAGCAGAGGTGCATGCGACGAGGGTGTGATTGGGCGGGCAGGAGCGATCTGCACGTCTCCCCAGGTGGTGTATCCACGGCGACGCTGCAGGTCCTGGCGAGGGGCTCGTCTGTTGTCGCGCGCAATAACGAGGGCAGTCGTGCAACGTTGGGCCGTCTTGTCGAGGGGGCAGCGGTCGTGGTGCTCGGCTGATGATGGCGTGAACATGCGTTCGCGATGCTGCACAGCCGTTCGAGTTATTGTCCGACGGGATTAGTCGTCCTCTGGCTGTGTCGTAGCCGGCCTTGGGGAGGGGCTGGCGATCACTAAGGGCTGATTACACACAAGCGCAGTTTTGCAGAATAGTGTTTAGGTGCGCGCAGGCTGTCTGGGAGTGTGCTGCCCGTGGTTCGTCTCGTGTTGCCCAAGCTGACCAAAGACATGGGCGAGCAAATAGCACAACGGCCTGCACTCGTCCAGGGATTACCGGGAGCATGCAGCGAAGCGGTCAGTAGAGGGGGAGTCTGCGGCAGGTCATGACAATGGGAGCAGAGAGTGACGACTGCTGCAGTGCTGTACCCCGCCTTGTCGACAGGCCAACGGCCGTCTCGATTGATTCGCGATTGATTGCCAATGCCGCAGCACTGTGGCCGTGTTGTTGGACAAGCCCGCGAGAGGTTCTGCCGTTGTGTTGGCGGCCAGGATGTGCCGTCACGGTCGGGCGCTCGGGCCAGTGAATGCACCCTCCCTACACCAGCATCATGCATACCCTTTAGCTCCGCGCGCACCAGTGCACGGCTGTTTTGCGTGTGACTTTCTCTCGACGCGTGCTTGGGTGCTGCGTGGGGACTTTTGCCAGCTGGATAGCGTGCCGACGAGGCCCATCCCATGCGTGCAGCTGCTCATCCGCCCGCCTGGCGTGCTTTCTTTTTTGTCAACGCCTTTCTGCCGACGCCTTGTGCTGCCGGCTGAGACGACGCCCATTGTGTACCCCTCTCGCCCCGTCCACCACCACGACGGCGACGACTGCCACGGCCGCCGCCTGCTGCCCACCGCCCTCATCCATCCCCAGCCCGCGACGCTCATTACATCGCCCAATTGCTCCCCTCGCCCTCGACCACGCTCGCACTACCATGCAGCTCGTCTAGTCCCCTCATCCCGGTTTCGAGACCCACTCTCGTTGCAGTCAGCAAGCACTACCGCACTGCTCGTCAACGCGTACCTTCCCCAGCTGCACGCCCGACTCTCCCGGACCGTCGCTTTTTTCCCACCATGGTCCTGGCAGCTCTCTGCGCATAGCTCAGCACCCGCCAGCCCTCGGGCACCCGCCCAATCCCCCCCGGCGACGGGCTCTCGCGACGATAGCACCACCCACCCCAGCCATGGCCGACGAGAAGAAACCCCCGACGCTGGCCCCGCCCGCAGTCACTGCCCTCAAGCAGGAGGCTGTCGGCACCAGCGGCCACCGACAGAACATGGAGCGCAGTGTTAGTCAGGACATGCGCAACGAGCGTGCAGACCTCAAGGAGGCCGCCGAGCACAGTCTGAACATCATCATGGACCTGGATCTCGAGGGCAAGATCCGCTATGTCAGCCCCTCGTGGACCGACGTCATTGGCTCCCTGCCCAAGGAAGTCACGGGCAAGCCTGTACTCGAAATCATATGCGGCGGTGCCGACGGTTTCGCCGAGACGATTGAGTCGGTTAGGAAAGACGACTCCCGGAGTCACATTGCCCGTTTCACCGTACGACTGGGCCCTCATTCCATCCTGCGCAAGCAGCGACCGAGGCACGCCGCCGAGGCCCCCGAGTCAATGCCAATGTCGCCTACCCACGTAGAGGAAGAGGAGGAGCAGCTGTTGAACCTCGAGGCTCAAGGAATCATGGTATACGACCGCACGACTGGAGCGGAGAGCCATGTACGTCCCAATCCGTCCTAACCTTGGACCAGACTAACCGCAACAGACTATGTGGATGGTCCGGCCATCGATCATTCGCGAAGTGACAATCGACCTCCCGGAAGTCCTCGTGGAATCTCTCGGGGTCGGCGCTGAGGTCCTCGCCCATTACCTCACTGGCCTCGCCGAGCAAAGCGCAACCAACCCGGGCGAACACGCACCGCCGCTACCGGTACTCTGCCGAATCTGCGAACGGCAAATCACACCTTGGTGGTTCGAGAAGCACTCTGAACTGTGTCTACAAGAGCACCGTGCGGAAATGGATGTACAGATGGCACAAGAGACTCTTGCTGAGCACCGCAATGCCATCGTCAAGGTCCTCGATACACTGGAGTCTCACAGCCAGCGTTCAAGAGCTGCGGCAGTAGACTCGGTACAGCCAATTCAGCCCGCCGAGTACAAGGGCCTCATCATCCACGCAACATCGACGCCATCGTCTGGCACACCCTCTGGACGCAACTCTCCTGCTTCGCCGCCGTCAAGATCACGCGAACGCTCGGAGCGCTCGTCTGGTTTTGGTCATCACCGCGCGCGATCATTCGCCGTTCGGAGGCCTCTAGCCCGTATCGTTGAGCTAGTTCTGGACTTGTGCGACACCGCACTCGAGATCAACACACCGGCAGTCAAGGACAATGGACGTGGTCAAGCAGCGACGGAGATTCGCACACAATCGCCTCAGTCGGAGAACCGTATCTCGCAAGTCCTCCAATGGCAATCGCCTACCACAGGCTCGGTCGACCACACTGAAGGCCTAAAGCTGTTGTGTGAAGATACCAGCAGGCTTGCCAGGGCAAAGATCGATGCAGTCACTCGCCATAGGAGGGTGCTAGAGTACTCTGAACGACTACGCATTGAATTCGACATCTTGGTTCAAGAATGCATCGAAGCCGCGATCCTGAAAGCTGCTCGTATCGCTGCCGGTGAGGACAGCTCCTCCGAAGACGAGCGACAGGAAGAAGAGGTTCAATCCGACGCCAATGACACCGATACAGCTCCCGGCGAAGAAGGCATATTCCCTGGATCTTTCGATGCGCCTTCTTCCATGGCACAAGCTCTCCGTAACACTTCTGACGCCTCGTTACCAGCACGAGTCGGACGGCGTGAGTCTTCTGTAGCCGGTTCAAATCGATCTAGCAGTCCTAAAGGGGGTTGTCAAACACCACGGTCGCACGCGGGCGCCATCAGTATAGCGACCCACAGCAAGCGCCAATCCATGCATTTCGAGAGCGATGCTGGTGCGGAGAGTGATACCAGCATGCGTTCATCCGTGTTATCTGGCCCTCGCCGAGCTGATTCACCGGCGACATCCGACGTAGGACTCAGTAGGGTAGCCAGTTCACGTGAACGCAAACGCAAGAGTCTAATCTTGCCGAGTGTCATGTCTAGTCGACAACATTCGCCTGCCCGTTCCATGATACCTCCGCCATCTTCACCTCTGCGAACAAACAAGCCGCGCCTGCCTAGTGGCATGGAGGCCTTACAATCACCAATCACGTCGCCAATCTTGCCGACTACCGAATTCTCTTCGCCAGCAATGGTGCATGCTCTAAACCACCACCGGAGACAGTCTTCTACTGCTGGTTCAGACGGTCCAAGACCCGTCTCTCCTCGTTTGATTCCCACCACTCAGCCACAGCCACGCGCAGTTCCTCCGTCAATAAAGGATTTCGAGATCATCAAACCCATCAGCAAAGGCGCTTTCGGAAGCGTTTACCTAGCCAAGAAGAAGTCCACTGGAGAATACTACGCTATCAAAGTCTTGAAGAAGGCCGATATGGTAGCCAAGAATCAGGTCACCAACGTGAAGGCTGAGCGAGCTATCATGATGTGGCAAGGCGAGAGTGATTTCGTTGCCAAGCTGTATTGGACCTTTTCTAGCAAAGACTATCTCTATCTCGTCATGGAATACTTGAACGGTGGCGATTGTGCCTCGCTCATCAAGGTCCTGGGTGCTTTACCAGAAGACTGGGCGAAGAAGTATCTCGCTGAGGTGGTACTTGGTGTCGAACATTTGCACAGTCGGAGCATTGTCCACCGCGATCTCAAACCGGACAACCTGCTCATCGATGGAAAGGGTCATCTAAAACTGACTGATTTCGGTTTATCGCGGATGGGTATGATTGGCCGACAGAAACGTGCACTCAAGTCTGTCGAGCCTGCGCCGGACCTGCTCAAGACCGGCCCATTCCATCGCGCTACGTCTGTAGGCTCTTCACGATCTGCATCCTTTGACTTGAACCACTCGCCTTCACAGACGCCATCCATGACACCTGCTCTCGCTGGAGACATCGGTCAACCGTCGTACTTTAGCCTTAATCGGGACGGTTCCCAACAAAGCCGTGAGCCTTCAAGGCGCACTTCGGGCACTCGGAGCGACAGCCAAGACAGTGATGCGCTACAAGCCATGTTCCGTCGCTTCAGTATAGCTGACGATTCCTTCGGTCAGCCTCGTGGACGGTCACCGATAGAAGAGGAGGCCTACAGCGACGACGGTTCTCCCGACCTCTACCCTGCTACACATTCTCTGAGTCACTCTGCAGTAGCTCAAAATAGTGCGTTGGCGCCTTCGTCGTCAGCAATGCCACCGCCACCTATGGCTCTGTTCGACCCAGAAGATAGCGACCGCAAATTCGTCGGAACACCGGACTATCTTGCCCCTGAAACTATCGCTGGTAATGGCCAGGATGAAGTCAGCGATTGGTGGTCCTTAGGCTGCATCCTCTTCGAATCTCTGTACGGATACCCTCCATTCCACGCTGATACGCCCGATGAGGTGTTCCAAAACATTCTCGCGCGTAGAATCGACTGGCCAGAGGATGATGATGAGCTATACGATATATCAGACGATGCGAAGGATCTGATGAATCGGTTGATGTGCTCTGATCCTGCACACCGTCTTGGAGCGAACAAGGACGACAAATACGCTAGTGGTGGAGAGGAAATCCGCAGCCATCCGTGGTTTGCGGATGTCAACTGGGAGACCTTGCGAGATGACGAAGCATCCTTCATTCCTGCACCTGAAAACCCAGAGGACACGGAATATTTCGACACCAGAGGAGCCGCCATGGCAAACTTCAGTCCCGAGTTTGAAGACCAAGCTACTACACCAGCAGGAACCCCAAGTACCGATTATCCTGACCGACCACACGATGCTTTGTCTAGAGTACGCTCTCAGGTGACTGTCTCGACTATGAAGCGAGGACTGATCCCTCTCCATATCCCAGCTCATGTGCGGGAAGGCCGGTCGAGGAGACTCAGTGAACCAATGGCAACTGACGACTTTGGTAATTTCAGTTACAAGAACTTGCCTGTTTTGGAGAAGGCAAACAAGGACGTCATCCAGAAGTTGCGTGCAGAAGCTATGCTTCCACAAAACAAGCCCGCACCGCCTCTGCAGTCGCCCAGTGTCACGTCGCCATCGCCATCGCTGGAGAACAGCCCGATGCTACCCGGCCCGCTCAAACGTACGCTATCCTCCAACAGAGCCACCGGACGGCCCTCTTCTCCCTCGATGAGCGGGCCACATTCTTCGCCAAGTCGTGGTTCACAACCCTCATCTCCTCTACTCGTACAGTTCAGCACGGGACAACATGACCGACGCAAGACGTCTAGTAGCTCGTCTACGTTGTCGCATTCGACCAGCAACCCATCCTCGCTACAACCTGGAAGCTTCTTCGATCCTTCCCGTGTGTCAGGCTTGCGACCATCCCCAGAAGCTGTCTCACCAAACAGGCTTTCAAAAACACCGTCTGCACCTCCCGTGGCTTCTCAAGAGAAGCCCGTCACTGGACAACGCCAGTCATCGGTACAAACCAATGCTTCTTCACCACGTGCTCGGTCCCAAACGCTTGGGTCTCAAGAGGACGATGTTGTGCGCGATCTCTTACCTGGGCACTACAAGCGCCGGAGTCAAGTGCTTGATGTGTCTCCATCGTCGTCGGACACGGAAGACTCTCGTGCGAAAGCGCTGCTTCGTGTCCAGCGACGACGTCAGAGTTCTCGAAGACTCTCGCAGATCAGCTTTGGCGACGGTCCTTTCTTCCGGCCATTAGACGTATTGATTTGCGAGGACCACCCAGTGTCACGGCTTGTCATGGAGAAGCTGCTCGAGAAGTTGCGCTGCCGCACTTTGACCGTTACCAATGGCTCAGAAGCTATACGATATGCGATGGGCGAGGTCAAATTTGATGTGATCATGATGGAGTTCCGCCTTCCTCAGGTCAATGGTGCAGATGTCGCTCGCATGATCCGAGACACCAAGAACGCCAATACGCATACTCCGATTGTCGCTGTTACTGGATACCTGAAGGAGCTGCAGGCGCCTCACTATTTCGATGCACTTATCGAAAAGCCTCCTACTGTTGCGAAGCTTACGGACACGTTGAGCAGACTGTGCCAATGGAAAGCACCCCCGCCAGGCTGGACGCCGAACCAGTTGTATCCATCGATGATGCCCTCTGGGCTTCGACAAGAGTCTTCGCGCCAGGAGGACAGCCCCACAACCTCGAATTCTTCAGGCTATCCACCCGTCCCTTCTGCCAGTTACCGAGGTTCGAGCCGCGAAGACTCTATTAGTTCTAGCTTCTTCGGTGACAACGATAGTCGCGCAGGCGAGGATATGCCAGTCAGAATCCACAACGCCGACGATTGGCGGGAGCGCGACATCGCACGAGCTATGAGTGGCTTAGGGATTTGCGACGATGCAGCTAATGCCGATGCGAAAGCAGCTGTTCCCAATCGTGTTGGTGCACCTGACCTGCCCCACGGGGACTCCGCGCCAGCCGTTCTCGAGGAGGCAACGATCCGCCGCCAGAGATCGACAGAGCAAGTCGGCGCCAAACGTCGCATTCTGGAGACCCGCAAACACGAGTCGGCAGAGTCTGGGGACGATGAAGACGACGAGCTGGGTCATGCTCCAGTGCGCACTCGGAGTCCAAGGTCAAGACCAAAGTCTACGTCGAAACTTGGAATTGAGATGATGCGAACGAACAGCAGAGGCAGCGTCATCTCTGTCGAAGACCCTGGTCAGCCAGATTCAACCCTACCTTCTTCTCCGCCTCCAATGATTACAGAGGAGCGTGCGGCAGAGGAATATGAGGGTAGCCTTGACGTACCTGCAGTCGCGCCTACGTCGCTCACACCACCAGTCCTCTTTCCCGAAGAACCCGGCGATGATGTGACTGACTTTGTCATCGAAACTCCCAAGGCGCAGAAGGACGCGATTAGTCCGGATCCGGATCCCACGCCCAAAGCAAAGCCTGCCACGACACCCGACCCAGACCCAACCCTCCGAGCGAACAGTCCAGTGGACCCCTAGGCAGCATAGTGGCAGCTGTCCCGCACATATTCATTAAATTGCGCACTTGATATTACATTTTAAGCACGTCTTTCGCAGCATGGCGTTGGCGGTGTTCCTACCGGGAGGTGCGCCAATGACAGCGAGTTTAGGAAGCACTCGACATAGTTCCTTTGTCTCTTCGCGCTGTCCAACTTTCGTTGCTTCGCGACTGCGTGTCGTTTTGAGAGCCCTTGTTTTCCAAGCAATGTCCATATAGTCAACATCTTCTTCTCTTTACCACAGCTTGGACATTTTTTGAGTTCGTATCATGTGCCTTGGGAGGAGGCACTTTTGTCATTCCTTTATTGAAGTTGTTACCCAGTCCACACACGAAGTGCTCGTTGGATTCAGACTGTCGCTCGCTTCTTCTTTGGCTGCTGCCTGTATCAGGTGTACTATTATCGTATTGAAGTTTGCGAAACTTTTGTACTTCCGGGTTTGAGAATCACCGATATAACAGCCGTAAATAGCTGAATGGAGATCACCTTGTACACAAGATCATTTACTGAAGTCTTCTCGCTCACCGGAAACATGTTTATCTCGGCGCTGCAACCATGCCCGAAACGAAGTAAGCCGGCTCTCTCTTGATATTGTAAACACTATTCGCTGCAGAAGGCCGCAGTTTCACCCAGGCCCATGGAGGATGACTGGCACATGTATTCGCTGGGGTTCCTGCACACACCGATCTCGATTTGCACAACTGAGAAACCGTCAACAGCCTCGCTACAGGTACTACCAGCTAGTGCGGTCGGCCTACGCTTGAGGGGTTCGCGGGATATTACGGATCATCTCGACTTACTCCCGCGCTGCACTCTTTTTGAAGAATTGTCTGGTGCAGGCAACCTCAGAGAGAAGTTACGCCTCCCTACCTTGATGAAGAGTTCAAGTAGAGCCAAATCGCAAATAGTCGCTCATGTGAATGATGCGATGAGCCAATGGCAGAGCACAGACGGTAGGAATGGCACGAGCACGTATCGCTGGGCACGACATAGGTACGAACCGTCGCTTTTCGAATGAGAACATGCGCTCCTCGACCAGCGATTGCGCGCAGGCGATCGATCCGAATACCCGTACGGCTTCAATACCTCGTTAACTATCGACTATTGCATACTACGAAGGAAATATAGACAGCCCATGTGACAAGCTCGCGACAGAGCAATCGGCTAGAGAACGGAGCTTTGTGATTAGAACGTCGTTTGTGGATCAATCCTCCACTCGTAGCAGTCGTTATTCAGAAACCCACCCTGCTTCCCGTTCACACCCCCACATTGACAGCTGTTGACAGGAACCTCCAGGTATTTGTGGCACAAGTCGTAGTCATACTTGAACTGGCAGCCTGGGTCGACGCTGAGCGATATGAGGATTTGGACACCGGTTCCCGTGCTGTGGTAGAATGTGTAAGTTAACGACTTGAAGTAATTTTCCTTGAAGACGTCACCCGAGCTACCTATCGCAATGCAAAAGTCGTGGATGGCGCTGTCCATGCGCGCATGCTCCGTCTTCTGATCCAGGCCACCGTAACAGTCGACTTCATTCTGCATTGGATCGCCTTCGCGCGGAGACGCCGTAGGCTCTGGCGGGTCTTCACTTGTTGTCGTTTTCGTCGACGTCCTGGAAGAGGTCGAACTAGACGAAGAACTGCTCGGTATTGGACATACGACCCAGCTGTCTTCCCAGTTTTCGTCGAAATCGCCGTTATCCCCATCCGAGCTGGTGTTGTTGTCGCCGAAGATCCATGGTTCGGTGAAGCAAACCCAGTCTATGAAGCCACACTCCTTGACCAACGGCTCCTCGATCTGACCAATGATAGGCTGAATTTGCCTCTTGGGCCAGCTACCCGTCGGTGGAGGCTGCGCATTGGGACCGATAGATTGAGGTGGCTTCGGAAAGGATATCTTAGGCCCTACTGTGGTAGAATCGCCATCTGGACCGGCGTAGATCACCGAAGGCCAGTGGGGTGTGGTCGCGGGTTTGGGCCAAAAAGCCTCGAAGCCCTGGCGCTTCTGGTTGACAGCTTGTCCAGTCAGTGTCACTGGCTCAAACACCCACTCCGATATCGTCATGGGCGGTTTCGTGATAGTGCTCGTCCATTCGCCATCGCTGACCGTGATCAATGGATAGTTCAGTGTGCTTGTAGCACGGGTCCACGGGGGGATCTTGACATTGCAAGGGGGTGAGCAAGTAAACGCTGGCTGTTCCATGTCCCAGATTTTGGGGTCTACCCAGATGTACTCGTCGTACATGGAGCCATTGCTGCTGACATCCAACACAGATATCTGCGACCAGAAGGGGTGGGAATCGACATTGAGATTATCCTTGGCTAGTATGCCCTTGCCATCCATGACTGCCATATACTTGGCGCCGATGGTAACGAGGTGCTGAATCCTGACATTGGAGAAGTTCTTTTCAAGCAAAAGCAGGGCTTTCTGGCATAGTTGCTGGTCGATGCAGGTCTGCGCGTACGTCGAAAACCACGAGTATAGGCCCGCGCTTGCGATGAAGACATTCTGCGATTCTCGCATTATGATCGCCCACGACTCGTCACACCCACTGAACTCATCGCCAGCCGCACATTCGTATTTTGGGTCACCTGAAAAGACGCCAAGAGCGGACTTGAAGGGAGCGGGTGGAGATGGCGTGGGTTGATAGTATGGTGACTCTGTCTGGAGTAAACCCGCGAAGATGTTTTGGGCTCGGTGAAAGTTGAACTGATAAAATACAGCATGCTCGGATGCAACACCGTAAAGCCTAGTATTGATTAGCTTGACTGCGACGACCGCGGGAGCGGAGATTGAGCTGAGCCTACCATGTCGGCTCGGTGCTTTCGGCCAAGAAGCCACGCGCAACATAGACCGAATTTTGTACCATGTTATTGGCACCGCTTTCGAGATCGGGATCACTGCAGGCGGGTTAGCCAAAGGAACTGGCCGAGGGAAAACAGGTCGTACTTACTCAATCATGCGATCTGCGACCCAGAACCACGCGTTTTCGAGATACGCGGAGCCAGACGACGTCAGGTGAAACATCAAGCTCGCGGCACTGCAGCCTTGATCAACACCACTGGTGACTGGTGGGCATTCCTTTGGCGTCAAATTGGTCCCGGTGGCGCCTCCAACACGTGCGTGGCAATCCCACAGCGCAGCCGATCCAGCGCTCGATGCTTTCAGATTCCACTCCACCAGGATGGCTCCAGCCGTTGCCCCGACTGTGGTGAAGAACAGGTCTTGCATCTCTACATCTCCTACTTGGCCGTTGGTACCGACCTTGAGCAGCACCTTGGGATGGAGCGCATCTTCGAAATAAGACCCGGAAGCAACCAACTGAGACCATGTTTCGCCAACAATCTTGGAGCCACTGGGAACCGTCACTGTCGACGTGAGTATGTAAGAGCCAGCATCTACGAAAAGTATTTTTCCCAGACTCGCATACAGTGCAGCTTGGAACGCCGCCGTGTCGTCAGTGATACCGTCGCCTTTGGCTCCAAGGTCCTTGATGTGCACGAAGTCGCCCACTGAACGGTCTTCGTACTGAGGCTTGGGACGCTCAAAGTACGCCCCATCGCTATCAACAAGTGTTGAATGACGACGGAAACTTCCGACCTTCTCTCCCGTGGTGAACTTGCGGTCTTTCTTATCAGCCGAGCCTTTGTAGACTGGGCCCATGGCCCATTCGTCGATCTTGGATGAGGATCCGGCCAATATTGTCTTTCCTCCTGTATCGGCGACGGTAGTACCCACGCCTGAAAGCTTGATATTTTCGAGGATGAGACCGGTACTGCCTGACCCGACCGTCGAAGTGGGAGGTGAAATTTGTACCACTGTCTTAACATTGTTGAAAGATGAGTCGAGGAAAGACGCTGAGCCAATGTTGCCCGCCGCTGCACCAGAAGTACTGTCGGGTACAAGTTTGAAACCTGTACCGACGTTGTTCATGGTAATGGACTTCCAGACCCAACCCCAATCCCAGATGAGATGGACACCGATCGTGCAGCCCTCGAACTTCAAGCGCTGCGCTGTGAACTGCTGGCTGCCACCATATAGACCAATAGCTCCACCTTGGAAGGTTATATCTGATATCTGCCCACCGCTGCCATTCTCAGCGTACATGCCATTCTGTGTCGGGCCGGCGATCAGGAGTACATTCTGGGTGCTCGTGGCCTGAGCAACCTGGTAATGCAAACAGGAGACCTTCTGTGAAGCACGGGTCTGTCTAACGTCGATAATCACATTGCGAATTTGCCGGTAGAAGTTTGCCGTGTTGATGTAGTACTCCTCATCTAGACCGTCCGCGCCAGTCCCTCCACCAGTGTACTCGTCTGTCGACAACACTCCCATACCGATGAACGACTTGGATGCCAGAACGGTCGGTCTATCGTTTGCATCTCCAATTACTTGCGTCCCAAATGGCATCGGAATGGTAGTCGAGATCAGGTACGTGCCTGGCGGTATATACACGATGGCATTCTTGAGTGTAGAGCCGTTGCAGCCCTTGCCGCAACGTTTACCGTCTAGCATGGCGGCTTTGAACGCTTTGGTGTCGTCTGTAATACCGTTACCAACTGCACCATAGTCGAGCACGTTCCGGAATACTGCGTATGTCGCGTTATCGCCCCATGGTACCGTACCCTTCCTGGCGATACTGCCCATCCAGTAGGTGCCCTTGGCAGGCACAGCGCGCTTTGTCAAATTTCCGGGTATGCCAACTGCATCAGCTTCAGCGACTAGAGCTGCAGCATTCGCGATGCTGTCGGTAATGTTCAGGAGGGGTGGAACCGGTGTGCCGTCTTCTCTTACACGTAGATGACGCTTGGCCTTTGACTGCCCGGTGAAAGTGCCAGGCTTCAGCCCATAGTTGTTTCGCATAGGGTTCAACAATCGGGCTTGGTTGAGCTTGGAAGACTCCGCGATAGCCTTCTCAACGATGATTCGCGCTTTTTCCAGGTCGGACAGTGAGGCGTTGGTCAAGAGAGGAGTGACATC